AGACTTGTAGAAATGGCACTGGTCCCAATTCAGTCATTTGTTCAAGACTTATTTTCAACCCATTCCATCATTTCTTTACAAATTCCTACTAACTCTTCAAATGCTTAAGGTCACTTTAGAGAACTTCTTCACAGGCAATTCTAACATCTTGAACCTACTCAGACATGATACATCACCCGTCTATCATTGAAATAAGTTATTTCTAAACCATTCCATCATTTCAACCTACTTTTCAAACATCTAAAAAGTCACTTTATACACTTTCATAGACTAGATTCAGAGAAATGCCACAGGTCCCACAAGTACTTATTAAAAGGAAAAATGCAAATGTCATACATGGGTATAAAATACATATCATATTGTCATTGTAGCTATATGATATCTGTATCTAGTTGAAAGTCAGGGGACATAGGAAACGTCATGTATAGTGCATCTATCATTTCATAGCTGCAATGATATATGCCTAGTGGAAAGTTTGGGAACATACAAAACATTATGACATTGTATAGTACATGTCCTGTTATTATCTTCGTAATGATGTTGGTCTGTTAAGTATATATCTACATTTGTACTAGTTGAAATTCAGGAATCATAGTTGACGATGTCATGCATAGAACATGTCCTCTTGTAATAATGATATCAGTATCTTTGGGCTTGACCCAGCAAGGGTTAAGAACTATCAGGCACAGAAATCCCATGAAACCACCCAGTCGAGAAAAGATGCACCGCGATCTGGCCGTGATTGAATTGTGAGTTACGACGATTGGTTGTGAGGTCGTGGGTTCGGTTCCCGGCGGGCTTGGCTGTGTCGATAACGCGTTAAAGATTTAGTGTGTGTGATGTGTTATCATATCTGTGTGTACCCTGGGAGGACTCGTGTGTGCTCAGTGTCATCAGAGGCCATCAGGTCTAGGAAAAAAATGTTGTGTTTCCTGTTTTCCGACCGGCCCTAGAAAAAAACTGCCGACCCTAGGCTTTTTTTGAGCTGATGGACCTTTTCTAGCTAGCTCCATGATCAGACACCTGAGTGATGAAATGTTGTGTAAGTACAGTTAATTGTAACAGTTGTGTTTCCTGTTTCCCGACCGACCCTAGAAAAAACTGCCGACCCTAGCTTTTTTTGTGTGAACCCCTGGAAGAGACATAAGATTGATGCTTTCAGATCAATGATATAGAAGCAAAGTTTGCCGGAAATCTGCACTTCTGTTCCTAGATTTGAAGGTCAATCCGAATGATTCCAAACACAAATGCGGGACAGTTTTCTGTTCTTTCCAGGATTTAGACCCCATTCCAGCTGCTTTTCCATACTTACTATCAGGGATTCAGGTATTTATCTCGGAATTTGTGCTTCTTTTCCAGGATTTAGACACCATTCCAGCTCCTTTTTCCGACTTACTATCCAAGGTTCCGGGTATTTATCTTGGAATTTGAGTTTCTTTTCCAGGATTTGAAAATCCATACCAGGCAAATCTGCAGCTCACCGGTACAAAAGCCGGATCTCTTCCCGGAATTTGCTCCCATCTTCCGGGATAAGAAACTCTATATCTGCTGCTGCATCAGGATTACCAAATATGGAAGCTGGGTTTGTTACTGGAATCTGGAATCCTTTTCTGGGATTTGTACATCAATACCAGCTTGAATGCCTGGCTAAGTCCAACACAACAAGGAGTCTTACCAAATATGGAGGTTGGGTTTTGTTATTGGAATCTGCACTCACTCCAGAATTTGCACATCGATATCGTTGTGTCCGTTAATCCCAGGTCTATCGGGAGCGCGGTCGCTGTCTAATGGGCGACCTCTGACCTCACCAAGGGCCGTCGTGATAACCTTTGACATGGCCCTGTAGCGATCTTGTCTGATGCCACAAAGAGTGACACAAGCTGTCAATCATGGGGTATTGGGACCAGGGAGGATTTTTATGGATGATTGTAACAAAGATACTAGACCCTTACATGTGACTGTTATCTTGGGCACGATAGCATTGGACATCCTGTATTTTGGTTGACCATAGGCTATCGTATCTTCTTTTTTGTAGCTCATGAAATACTACAGAGTTCAATATGGGAACTTTTGTTAGCAAGACTTGAAGGGAAGGTTTTTATAGATGATTGCAGCAAAGATATTGGACCCTTACATGTGACAGTGTTATCTGTGTTATGAAGGGTATGATAGCATTGGACTTCCTATAGTTGACCAAGTATACTTTATGGTATCTTCCTTTTCTAAAGCATACATTACTATAATTGAGTTCGGTATGGGAACTTTTTGTTTGCTAGACTTGAAGTAAGTGATGAAGGGAAGGTTTTTATAGATGACTGTAACAAAGATATTGGACCCTTACATGTGACTGTGTTATCTTTTTATGTTGGGCATTATTATAACATTGGACTTTCTGCACTATTTGTCAACTATAGGCTATGGTATCTTCTCTCAGTATGGGAACTTTTGTTTGCAAGGCTTGAAGGAAGGTTTTTATAGACGATTGTATGATATAGGACCCTTGCATGTACATGTGACTATTATCTTCTTATGTTGGGCACGATAATATTGGACTTCCTGCATTTGTAATGATCAACAAGGCTATCTTGTTTTTGCATAGCATGACGGACTATTGAGTTCAGTGTGGGAACTTTTTATGTTTAGACTTTTGTGCTGCAGAAAGCACTTATAACTTCCTGTGGTGCAATTTTTCCAATTTAGATAACAATTATTCATTACTCTAAACGAGCTATCCACATCACCAACATTAACTGTTACAACCTTGAGAAAGTTAACCTTCTCCCTGCTGCCTAACCCCATAACAAATACAAATCTGCTACCAAACAACTACCTTGGCAGGCTTAAGGTTAACAAAATCTCACAGGTCCCTCTTGACAGAATCCTTCCCGACTCTATGTCTACCTAAAGGGCCCTTGAGAGTCTAAGACAATGCCAAGACATCTGGCAAGAAGTTTGTCTGCATTAGACATCACCATCTGTACATTGTACATCTTAACTTCATGTCTTAAGTCTGTGTCAATGAACTTTCAAGGTTCCTGAGAAATTTTTCCTCTTCAATGCAAGATTTCAATGCAAGATAACTGCAACTTATCCAGCTAACTTGTGTATCTTTAATTTAGTACATGTACTGACAAGTACAGTATATGTCAATGAAGGTTATTAATAATATTAAGACATCCAGGTAAAAATTCTTTGAAGAGTCAGACCAGATTTCAGGTAACATCCACAATAAGCGCAGTACATACAAATGAATGAATGAATGTACATAGCAGTACAGATATATGAGGCCATCTGATGTGCCTAAAATTCCACAGAATCTTCACATATTCCATTCTCCTCATATTCTATAGGATTCCTCCAACTTTTTCTCCTGGGACTTTTGTTAAGAGATTGATTTAACTAATGACATTGATCATCATAAAAATCATTGTCATAATACCATGATGGATGAAAAACAAAGATAATGACCAAATCTCCTTGTGAGACATGTTAAGCCAGATGTAAGTGAAGATAAGCCTGTCTGACTACGAAATAATTCAACACAAATTTTCTCAACATGTAAACCACCTAATTTTCAAAAGGAAAAGCGTACACTTACTTTGATTTTCTATCCACAAAAATCCATTTGGGATAATACCATCTAACTTCTAAAAATCAAATTGGAGAATACTTTGCTGATTTATTTTAAAGTGTTCCTTCATGTCATGTTCCTGTGTTTTTGTGCAGTTGTAAGTGCCCAATAGGGTGTGCATACATGCCTGTGAGATGTGCATTCAGCAGTGTTAGTAATAGGTTAGGCCAGGAGAGACATGTTAGTGCATCATTCATGTAATTACAGTGTTTAACTCCTGTCTTCTGTAACCGCTCTTCCGTGGGACTTTCCTTTGATGTACTTAAGCGGAACTCTGATCCATATTCTTGGCAAAGGGCCACTCATGGTTTGAATGATGATTTGAAAGTTGGTAAAGCAGTTGAGCGTTACTCTGATTTTTTATAAGGAAAAAATGGTAGAATTTCCTGTTTTCTTTCACTAAATTGAATCCTAAAAACACCTATGAGAGGAAGCACTGTTGCTCTTCCGTGGGACTTTCCTTTGATATAGTTAAGCAGAACTCTGATCCATATTTTGGGTAACGGGGTCTTGGCAAAGGGCTACACATGGTTTGAATGATGATTTGGAAGTTGGTAAAGAAGTTGAGGTTTCCTCTGATTTATTATAAGCAACAGTAAACTATGGTTTAATGCTGCCAGGAAAGAAGAGGTTATATGTTACGAATCATTTGACACCTTTTTCATGAAATTCTGACAAAAATAGGCAACTTTCAGGTGTCACCACCACTTAACGCACATCCCACATGCATGTATGCGCAGGCACACCGCAAGGCTTTTACCTCCATACACTTAAACCCCAGGCAGGGCCACGATTAGATACCAAGCAATTAAGCTGGGCTTAAACATGGTTTTCTCCTGTAGCGAACATGAACAATTCAGCAACAGGACTCACTAAGCTAACCGATTACCGGAATGCTAACATATATGTCTGTATGCAAGCACACACACATACACTCAACACTGTTCAACTACTACAGCAAGCATTTAATTTATGTTCAGTAACTGAGTTTGCGGAAAGTTACAGATAGTTTGCGGTCTATCCGTTGTATTTGGTGTGTACAGAAACTCACCAATTTCAGCACTTGGGACAGCACCCATGTTGTACAACGGTACATGGCATCCAACAATGACTGCTAACATACATGTATGTATGCATACTCACACACATACTCATACACACACATACACACACACACACACACACACACACACACACACACACACACACACACACACACACACTAGCACACACTACACACACACACACACACACACACACACACACACACACACACACACACACACACACACACACACACACACACACTTCTTGTTGTTGGTACTCATTCAGTCAAGCAACAACCCCTGACCCTTGACATGTGACCTACCTGCATGCACTCGTTGCGACCCATGACCCCTGACATCTGCAGGTAACACTTGACCTGCTGGCGGATCTTCTGGAAACAGTCGACGATGGGAACGCTGGGGATGGTGTGTATCCTAGCAACGAAAGAACATAGAACAGTCAGTTAACTAGGCAATAACAGAACAGTCAGTTAACTACAATGTAGGTAATAACAGAACAAAGAACATTCGGATAACTAGGCAACAACAGAACATATAGGTATCCTGGCAAAGAACACAGAATAGTCAGGAAATCAGGCAACAGCAGAACGTAAAACAGTCCGGTAACTAGGCAAAAAAGGATCAATCAGGTATCCAGCAACCAAATGACAGAACCTGTATATGTAGTATAACTTCTAAGTACCTAAAGAGTTTGGAATATACAGATATCTTGACAACATAAAAGAGCTCAAGATTTTTACATACGCGGAAAAGTTTAGGCAAAGCCTATAGTCTGAGGAACAAAAACTTGGCCACTGTACTGTCATTGCTGCAGTGCCCTCTGGCAGACTCTGAAGGAAGTGCATGTTACCTCACACGAGAAGTAACACTTGTCTTACTGAATCTAACACAAACAGACAGATCACCCACCTGCTGAGAGAGTCCAGGCAGGTCCCGATCAGGCCATGCTTACGGGCGATCTTCCCGTAGTGGATAATGGAATGTGCCGAGGCGTGCACCCCCAGCATCGAGTGGTTTGAGCTTTGCTGTAGGGACAAACATTACAGACATGTTAGGGACACCCCTGTAGTGGATAATGGAATGTGCCGACGCGTGCACCCCCAGCATCGAGTGGTTCGAGCTTTGCTGTAAGAGCAGAAAAATGTTGTATAATGTTAGTCTCTCATACCATTGTACATGTATTTCCTTTTTCCTACATGTAGTTTGTACCTGCAATTAGCCCTCGGGCTAATATACGTACTGTATTGTGGTTTTCTTTTGTGGTAACATATTTCTATCTGGTAACATGTTTCCTTCCTGACATGTTTCCATGGCAACAGACATGATGGTTATATGGAAACATATTTCTATGGTAACATGTTGCTATGGTAACATGTTGCTATGGTAACATGTTGCTATGGTAACATGTTGCTATGGTAACATGTTGTTCTGGTAACATGTTGCTATGGTAACAAGTTGCTATGGTAACATGCTACTATGGCAACATGTTGCTCTGGTAACATGTTTCTATGGTAACATGTTGCTATGGTAACATGTTGCTATGGTAACATGTTGCTATGGTAACAGATGTTTCCATGGTAACATGTTTCCATGGCAACAGACATGTTTCCATGGAGATTTAACTAGGTAGTGCTGAACATAGCCTCTCATAAGCAGATACAATGTCATTACAGTAAATAGTGGTATAAATCTGTTTCAAATCCATGGTAACATGTTTCTATGGTAACAGATGGTTCTATGGTATCAGACGTTACCATGGTAACAGACAATTTTCCATGGTAACCTACCGGGTCATGCTGCACGTGCCCCTCGTAAGCGGAGACGATGGCGTTGTAGTGGTGATGTCTCCACATGAAGATGTCGCTCCAGTGGGACAGGTCGTCTGCGATCAGGGGCAGACGGTTTCTGCAGGAGCAGAGAGGAGTTTATAATTCACAAGCCCTAGGAATATCAATGTCAATACTTAACTACAGCTGAGTTCATTAGCATACTAAAAAGATGAAAACTGAGTCAACCCAGGCATAAATCTGATCCTCAGGCTTTATCAGTATGTTTTTCCAGGTGAGCATATTTTTTTACAACCGATTAATTTAGTACGAGTAGCCTTCTGTCTACTTTTAACAGCAGAGATTTGAGCACAGAAAGTCTCCATGGATATCAATGTCAAGATTTTATAATAATGAAAGTCTAGGATTTTCAATAATATTCTCCAAGTTAAGTTTACTTGCAACAGAAGGGATTTCAGCACAGAAACTTGAGAGTGTTACAATCAGACAACCAATATATTAAATAGGATTAGCTATGTCTACTTGTGACAGCAGAGATTTGAGTTGTTGCTCACCTCCAAGTCTTGACGATGGCCTTCATGTCGTGTAGGGAGGAGTTTCTGCCGATGTTTGCCGGCTGCAGACCAGTGTGGATCTGGGAGGCTTCTTGCAGCTCAATAACCTGCTGGGCAGCCTAGTCAGGGGGAGAAACACCCACGTTATAGTAACCCACATCATCACACACCCAGCTAACACACACACACACACACACACACACACACACACACACACACACATACACACACACACACATAGGCACACATACACACACACACACACACACAATCACACACACACACACACATAGGCACACACACACAAACACACACACACACACACAATCACACACACAATCACACACACACACACAATCACACACACACACACACACATACACACACACACACACACACACAATCACACACACACACAATCACACACACACATACATACACACACATACACACACACAATCACACACACAGCTGAGCAACCCACCCAACCCTTACCTGTAACAGTGGAACATGAATGTTGGCCACAATGAGAGGAAGTCTTCTCCACTCCTTGATAGACTGACTGCTCGACATTTCCACCAAACGCTCAATCTGAAAAAAAAAACACAAACTTATGAGTTATCACCATACATGTTTTTTTTAAATATCTGCACAAAACTCTAAAGTCTTCAAATGCACTCTGAGAACAAAAGGCTGCACTGAAGGATTTCTATTGTCAACCAAAAGTCTTTCTCAAACGCATTCTGTCAACAAACTATAGCCACTAGTACTGCTGCCCAGCCCTTGTTCAGGGACCCCCACAGCAGTATCATCAAAGACTGGATACTACTAAATCTACACTTAAAATCTACAAGGCTAGAGATTCTTACCAGGTTTAGGTGATGTTCCTCAGGATGACAGATAGCGATGTAGCCGCGGTACATGTTGACTTTCCATGCCATCTCCTTGGGGCAGCTCTGTTCCACCTGTACATGTAGCAGTGCCAACAACTGTGTGTCAGGAGCCCCAAGGGGTGACAATAACAATACAGTTGGAAAATCTCAAACCAGTTTGGTCAAATGAACTCAATGAACAATTGAGCTAATCTTCCACTGGTTGTGACAGAGAAGGCAGACTTTAATATACAGTATGTAAGAGTCACTGAAATTCTCATTTTTTGACAAGCACAATGAACAGCAGACCAAAGTTTAATGTCTTGTCCCATGGACTGTGGCCCTTTCCAGTAGCACAGTTTCATGAGACTAAGAACTTGTATGTTAAACTAGAAAGGTAACATTTGCAAAGCAGATATGCATAATGTCTACCTTTACATGCTCTAGCCTAACAAACTACTGCTCATATATATGGTGACCAGCCCCTCCAACTTGTTCTACCACTTGCTACATAATGTAATCCAAGACCACAGGGAGTCTGCTACAGCACTAGTTACCATGGTGACTGACATCTGGTCCAGGTCATTGACCTTATTTGTTTGGAGAAAAAGAAGACTGAAACAGATTAAAAACAATTATGTATTCCTTCTGTGAAGGTAAAAGTAACTAAGAGTACTGACCTGCACCAGAGCATCCTTCATGGAGGCCCAGTTAGGCACCCTCCAGGCTGACTCCAGCACAAGGTGAGGGTTCGGGTGGGCCTTGGAGGAGCCATACTCCATCAGGAGGTCCCACTGGTTCAGCTCCTTAGAACACCTGAGGAGGGACAGAGAAATCTTCAAGGACCCGTGTTCCATAGGCTAAGGTACAGTGAATACAAAATGACAAAAAGTCATTTTTACCCTTTCCTTTCACATACATGCATGAACATGCACTACAAATGCTTATGTGACCTTCCACTATCTGTACTGAGGGATGATGTCAGGTCAGGGTTAGAGGTTACAGGTCAGAGGTCAAGGGTTATAGGTTTAGGGTTAAGCCTGACTTGATCCAATGGTCCTCCCACAGTCTGTACTCAGCGATGATGTTGGGTCATCAGGATTAGAGGGTTAGAGTTAGAGTTTGTAGGTTAGAGGTTAAGGTTTAAAGGTTAAGGGTTACAGGTTGAGGGTTACCTGATCCAATGGTCCTCCCACAGTCTGTACTCAGGGATGATGTTTGGTGCAGCTGAGCTGCTGTTGTGGTCCTGTCTGGCCTTTGTCATCGCCTGAAACATACAAATGTCAGGCACTTAGAAATACTGGCATTTATAATAATGATTGAAATGAATGGACAATAACTCTTGTTAGTCACAATAAGCCAGGCAAATTCTGAATAAATAAACAAATAAAGGCAAACTCCCCAAAAAGAACCAGTGAAAACAGGCTGCGATCAAGACATACAAAACTTGTACAACTTTGTTTTTATGTTTTTATGTACACACAAATCTCAACCCATATACAAATCCAAAGAAAAACTTGAGCCACTCTACAATTCACAAAGCAGTGTTACTTACCCCTTCATATGTGGTCTGAGCCTGCTCAAAGAACCCCTGTTGTTCATAAGCGATGGCAGTGGCAGTCTCAGGGAACCTGGAACAACAGGCAAAAAGGAATATCAGGAAAGTACAAGTCTACTGACAAAACTTAGCATAGTAAAAAAGGTCCCGTTCCACTCTGTGCAGAGCATAGGGGCGGTGCCCATCTCGATTTCTGTAGCCCTTGGACCACACAGTTGTGCAAGCACTACTGCAGGGGGCTGGTGGTGTTGTGTGTTTGACCTTCCCATACTCTTTCTCATAGATGCTGAGTGTTAAGCAGAGAAAGCAGGATGTACCGTTTTAAAAGTCTTTGGTATGACCCGGCCGGGGTTTGAACTCACTCATGCTACTCTACCTGATTGAGCTATTGCACAGTGAAGCAATTTAATATTTCGACATGGAGACCACGGCTAGTGCACACTTACTTGCATCTCTTCTGCCAGAGTCCAGCCCACATGTCCTCTTCCCTCAGCAGGGAGTACAGCTCTGACAGCATGTCAAGGGTCTCCTGTCAATCAATCATACAGAGATGTCAATCAAAAATACAATGCTGTCAATCACAAATACTGAGCTGTCAATCAAAAGTACTGAGCTGTCAATCAAAAGTGTCAGAGTTCTGACAGCATGTCAAGGGTCTCCTGTCAATCATAAATACTTAGACCTCGGTCAAAGTCAGAGAGTCCTGACAGCATGTACAACACTGGTAGTGGTGTGTGTTCAGTCCCATACTCTTTCCCAAATGCTGAGTAGCAGTATGTCCTTGGCATGACTTGGCCAGGGATTGAACTTGAATGTGACCTCTCAAATCCAAACACTCTACTCACATGGCCATTACACTGGTCATATAGCTATAGAATGTACCAGCAATAAAAGTTGAAGGCATAAAAGTTGTAACATGTGCAATATCCCCACCTGTTGTGGAGGAGTGATGCCCTCCTGTTCATAGTACTCGTTTGCCTGTTTGTTCTTGCTCTGTGTGCTAAACCCGCTCTCGAAGGCGCTCTGTTCCAACATCAGGGTCGAGCGGTGCCACAAGTTGTGGGTCTTACCCAGGTACTGTAGGAATTGACACAATAAAATAAACAAACTAGAAAGGTGACTAGCATTTGCAAAGCAAATGCATAGTGTTTTCACAATGGTCTAGCCTTAGATAGTACAGTAACTGCTCTGTTCATTGTTTTTTTTTTACTGATTGTTACCAAAACATATTTGTATGGTAACGAGCCCCTCCAACTCTGTCCTGCTACTTGCTACATAATGTAACCCAACACAACAGGGTGTCAGCTTCAGCACCAGTTACCATGGTCACAGCCATCTGGTCCAGGTCATTGACTTTATTTGCTCAGTTAAGAAGAAACAAAGCAAAAACAATATGTTTTCCTTCTTCAAAGGCAAACATACTAATAAAAACTAGTTGTGTCATGACAATAAAAAGCATAGAAATCACAGAAATATCTTATAGGAAGTGTTATTATTTCTAAATCTTTGGTTTTTTTCTTTTGCATTTTAACTTTGATCTGAAACCCCCCTACCTTGAGCACACAGGGCCTGATGGGGATAGGCGGCACACAGCGAGAGATCCCCTCCACAAATGTGTGGATGGCACTGGGCTGGCATTCCTTCTGGAACACGTGGGAACCACTGCACAGGAACGGCCCCAGCTCTCCCGCAAGGTGCTGTAACAAACAAATAAACAAACAAACAAGTCAGACTCGGCTGGCACTCCTTCTGGAACACATGGGAACCACTGCACAGGAACGGCCCCAGCTCTCCCGCAAGGTGCTGTAATAATAAACAAACAAACAAACGAGTCAGACTAAATTGTCATTAAATCTATGTAGCTACATGTAGGCTGCTTCTTCTGACCTTTTTGTGACTATTAGGGAATCGAAGATGAGCTTTTTTCCATGTTTCCAAAATTGAACTAACCAAATGATCACTCCACATTCAAAACTAACTTCTTTCCATACTCAAAACTATCTTTTCTCAGGGGCATTTTCCTTTCAGGCTACCCCATGGAAAAGAAGAGCAAACAGAATGATTTCACAAATTTGCAAAGATCTAAGTTGAGTTGAAACAGAAAAAAACTTGCCTGTTGCTGTCTCTCGCTGAGCACCTTCCACAGCCTGGGGAACAGCTCCACCCATGTGCTGTGTGACAGCTGGGTGCTGTAGTGGCACAGCTGCGACACCGCTGTCAGGAACGACGTCGTCTGGAACAGCAACAACATGTGTCAGTTTTACCTCGATACAGCATGCGTCAGTTTTACCTAATGCTACATTTGTGACTAAAAACTCGCCACAAGTGCTGTGTGACAGCTGGGTGCTGAAGTGGCACAGCTGGGACACCGCTGTCAGGAACGACGTCGTCTGGGGAACAGCAAGAAATCTATCAATCGTGTATCTCGCTACATTTGTGTCTAGGAAAAAATATGACAACAACAAGTGGCAGTTTTACATTCAGTCTGCTGAAGTTGACTTTGCTACACATAAAAGACAGTGACAAGATGTCAGGAACTAGTGCAGATTTCAGTTTGTTATAGTAGATATTTGCTACACATACATTGTACACAATTCACAAACACAGCAACTAATGTGGGAAATTGTGTCAAAATCATGTTGATATTACCTTCAGATGTAACACTGGTTACAAATATGAGTTATGCATTTTCTATGTAGGTAAAATATGCTCTGCACTGTTAATTCTTACTCAAACACATTAATAGATATGGTGACAGGATTCTAAATACCTCCTGCTTTAAAATTGCAACATGATGTAACCAAACACTAGTTACCATGGTGACAGATGTCTGGTTCAGGTCTTATTTGAAGAGAAGAAGAAGAAACAGAGCAAAAACTTCAGTAAACATACTGACCTTGACCTCCTTGAGTGACTCGAGGAACTTCCCATGTCGGTTAGTGAGCACGCTCAGCTGGTGTCGGAGGTCACCCTTGCTGACCTCCTCGCGACCCGACGCGTCCTTCGACTTCCCCTCGTCTGAGGTGAGCTCAATGTCAATCTCCATATCCTGTCGTGAAGGTCATAGGTCATGACATTTAGAACCATACTATATACGGTAACAGTTAGTCTTAGCTTAATACCATATACAAAACAATGAATATGAACAAGACTATTTCCTGAAAGGGGTGAAAAAGGCTATTTACATTAGGGCACTTCACTGAACCGTGACGGGGGGCCGACATTGTCTACCAGATACCTTTGACCCAGTGTTGACATCACACTTCAAAGAAGCCACGTGACAAGCTTCACTGGGTCAGTCTACTGAGGAAGACCAGAGTGACTGGTCAAAAGCTGTAGGTGAGACAACTTCTTTGTGTTGGATCTAAAGTTCTAACTCTAAAACCTCATTTTCAAAAGAGATTTAAAAAATCATCTCCACCTCCTCTTGTTTTTCCCCCTCCACGTCCATGGGCTCTTCCTTGACCCTCATCGCCATGGCGAAGGCCATCTTGTCCCGACTGTCCGCCAGGTTTATGACATGAGTGATGGACGGGAGCATGGAGAGCTGGGAATGGCTCGAGACTGGGGTGGAACGGTCGGAGACAGCTAGCATAAGCTGCAAAAAGGGAAGAGAGACCAGTCAGTGTCTGAATGGGTTAGGGTTAGGATTAGGCACGGCTCTGCGTATCCAAGAACGTAAGTTTTCCCCAGGCACGGTTCTGGATAAAGCATGGTTCTGGTTACAACAGTGACTGCTGGACCGGTTTGAAACTGCTAACATCAGCTGTAAGTAAGTAAACAAACAAACAAACAAACAAACATGAGCGAAGGCCATCTTGTCCCGACTGTCGGCCAGGTTAATCACATGGGTGATCGACGGCAACATGGACAGCTGGGAGTGGCTCGAAACCGGTGTTGAACGATCAGAGACTGCTAGCATCAGCTGTAATAAAAAAAGTCGAGGCCAGTCAGTTTCTGCTAGCATCAAGATGACTTTAGAAGGACTATCAGATAATTAATCTATTTTTGTAACAAATAATTTGACAACCTCCCAAGCCAGAAATGTGTATGTGCTTCCATATGTGCGCTTCTGGTTTGAGAGGTTCTCAAATTGCTCAACTCTTTGCTAACAAAAATTAGACTAATATGTGTGCACAGTGAATGGGCAACCTTTCAACTTTGATATCAACGAAAGGCTGCAAGGGGGTGGTCAGGCTCATTAAAGTCCTACTTTGTCTGACGGAAAGCCAAGGGATTGCAGAAGACATCTCTGAGACTCTCACCTCAGTGCACTGTTTGACCCAGAAGTGTGTGCCCATAGACTCCCAGTTCTGTGAGCAGGTCATGTACAGTAGCCTGTCGTGACTATACTATCTATTTACAGATACAGAAACTGGTGCGTTATGCCAAAGGACATACAGAATAAGTCCCTTACCTCAGTGCACTGTTTGACCCAGAAGTGTGTGCCCATAGACTCCCAGTTCTGTGAGCAGGTCATGTACAGTAGCCTGTCGTACAGGCGCCTTCGGATGCTCTGGTCGAACACCTCCACAAACTTGGCCCTGATGTGGGACTGCACACACCGTAGGCCCGCCAAGAAGGCTGGTTCCAGCTTAACTGTGAGCTCACTTCCTCGTAATGACTCATCTCTGTGAAAAAAACAAACAAACAAAGTTAGGAGTAAACAAACTCAGCACACACACCGAAGGCCTGCCAGGAAGGCTGGTTCCAGCTTAACGGTGAGCTCACTTCCTCGCAATGACTCATCTCTGTAAACAAACAAACAAACAAAGTTAGGAGTAAACAAACTTGGCCCTGATGTGAGACTGCACACACCGAAGACCTGCCAAGAAGGCTGGTTCCAGCTTAACGGTGAGCTCACTTCCTCGCAAAGACTCGTCTCTGCAAAAAAAAACATTTTCTGTAAACTCAATTTTGTCAGTTTTCATTTGAAAGGCTTTCGAAGCTCAAGTCTTCCTCCTACTGGGAAAAAACAACCAGTCCTGAAGCTCTAACCGTGAGTTTGCTGCCTTGTAATGACTCGTCTCTGTAAGTAAACAAACAAACAAACAAAGTAAGGAGTAAACAAACTTGGCCCTGATGTGGGACTGCACACACCGAAGGCCCGCCAAGAAGGCTGGTTCCAGCTTAACAGTGAGTTCACTGCCTCGTATGACTCGTCTCTGTAAACAAACAAAGAAAGATAGGAGTAAACAAACTTGCTCTGGTACTGTACACACTCACAACAACTCATCTCTGAAAAATAACAATGTTAGGAACTCAAGGCACTTAGCAATAAGATAACACAGAGGCTCTAGGCTTTAACTTAAAAAAGCTAGTTAAAGCTAGCCCCATGGCCTTTTGGAGGCCATAGGGGCAGTGGGTTGTTGATTCACTGGGTCTAGGGCACGGTATTGGAAGGCAGAGCCCATCCCTCTCCTTCCACTGCCTTTTACCTCCCCAACCAAAGTCAGGTACCCATTCTACACTTGAATGGACTGAGGAAATTTGTGTAATGCCAGGAACTGCACCTGAGATCTCTTTGGCTAGTGTCTGTTTGACAGTTGTATAAGAAAATGGCAATATCCAGTGAAAAGGCCTGTTAGCACTCTCACCTGTAGATATAGTTGACAAGCTCCAGAAACTGTGCGTTGAGTTCGTTGTCGTCAGGAAAGCGTTTCTCGGTGAAGTGCATCATCTTGGTGAGGAGGTGGGCCTTCTCTTTCAGGGTGGGGGTGGCGTTAACAGCCATGGGACCCTGAAAAAAGTGATTGCACTCTCACTCTTCCAATGCTCATGATAGACAAACTGGCCCTTATAGTTAAGAATGTAACATTGCAGTCTGGCTTTCAGCACCAAGGACACTGCCAAGTAAAACTACTGGGAGATGACTAAAAGCAATTGTTGGCAAAGCAGATAGCCAACCTTGCTAGCTACAAAAGAAAGTGGAGGGCTCTTGCAGTTGTTGCCGCGTGACAGAGAAGATAGACCCTATGTACAGTATTTACAGGTTCCAGGAAAATTAGCTTTTTTCAGGCAGCAAGAAGCATAATATGATCAAGCTATATTCTATAGGAAATGCTCCCTGATTTAGCTCTATGGTAAACTTTTAAGTTGAAAAGTTTCTTGTGGCCAGGTTACTCTGGCTCCAAATTAGCTCTGTACCGAGTTTCTAATCTAAGTCGACCATCATAGGTCTGAAAAATTTCTCCATGATCCCAAGTTTTTCACAATTATACAGTCCTTACCTTAATCTTGATCCACTCCTCCATGATCCTTGTGATGGCCTTGAGGATCTTAGCGTCGGGCGAGCGTTCGATCAGCTGAGTCAGGATCACCTGGATGAAGTTTTTCCTCATCTCCGCGCTCATGACGGCCACTCGGGTCTTTATCAGGTCCAGGCTCAGGATTATCAGGTCACTGGACACTGCTTAGTAAGATTGGCAAGATTATTATCATTTTAGTGACAATCAGTTTTTTCTGTCTTGCATGCAGGCATGCTATATAGCACGGTAGCTGGTTACCGAGTATATTACACAGAATGACTTGCGTGTTGTTTACTGATGATGCCCCTACTGTACTGTACTAAGAAAAAAAGAGTTTTAACACCTCAATCCTTAGTTGATATCTCTGGTGCTTGAATACATAACTTATTTCTTTTACAAGGTACCCAGTATTCGATATTTTGTAGTTGGAGAATTGTGAGGCTCCAGAAAAGGTGTTATTTATTTGCAATTCTGTCTTATATCATTGAAGAGATTCATTTGTCACGTATAGATACAGTTCCTAGTGAATTCTTTCATCAGTGACAACTTTGGAAGGATAAGGATACTAACCTCCAAATTTTCGATGGCTATCAGTCCATCTTGTTCACGGAGTGGCCTAATCTCGCGAGAGCGCGAGACTAGGCCCGAGACTTGCATCGGTCTGTCTTACTTACTTACCCTTACTCCGGAGGGAGGCAGCAGGGGGTGGGACCCGACAGACCGATGCAAGTCTCGGGCCTAGTCTCGCGCTCTCGCGAGATTAGGCCACTCCGTGAACAGGATGGACTGATAGCCATCGAAAATTTGGAGGTTAGTATCCTTATCCTTCCAAAGTTGTCACTGATGAAAGAATTCACTAGGAACTGTCTTATATCAGAGTGTAAAACTGTTGCTGGGAAGCAGACTGGCCTAAACACTAGACAGGTCATTCACACGTACACTATAGTATTCAGCCCTCATGCCCAGTAAGCCTGTGACTTGCACATCTTAGAATCGAGAGGCTCTAAAAGAGATTGAGAAACTGAGTCCTTACTTGCAGTTCCCTCTCCAGCGGCTGCTGCAGGTGTCAAATGTTCCCTCACCATCTTCTGTAGTGTCCGCATGAACACAGAGATCAACCTGCAAAAAACATACAGGTGAGGGATGAACAAGCACTGCAGGAAGCTTTGTCATTTCTCTCTCTCTCTTGGCCTTGCTTTGTTGTCAAAGATTCAGGGGCCCTTGATGTAGTGATGTGAACTAAGTAAATGTGTTAGGACTGCTCCACCCACGCATACCAAGGCAGAACAAGGCCACGCACCAGTAATAGAGGACAGATGTTAGGATTAGCCCTCCTACAAACCTGTCACTGTATACATGAACACCGTAGAGTACAGTCATGAAAACTCCTCCAGTGTGAGATTCATTATTGAGTATTCTTGAGTGTTGGAGAGAACACTACAACTGGCGACGAGGATGGAATAGAAGAAGACAGATGACAGAAGAAGACAGAAGAAGACGAAAGCAAACGGTCTCAAGCCAAGACGGAAGGACGGAGAGAGCCACAGTCTTCAGAGGAGACAGCTAAGTCCAATGTCTAATGTCTTTCTTCCAAGAGAGCATCCAGAGCATGCTAGTCTAAACAAGTCCAGAGAACTTCTGCTGCAAGCTTGCTGGTGGCTCACAAGGCTGATACATGACAGACACACTCGGCAGATGAATGAATGAGTCTGGTTTTCGAGCTGTGATGGTGCGGTTCATCATACTGGCATCCAAATACCCTAACACTGAACAAGCACATACTTGCCCTATACTTGCATGAGCAAGAGATTTGATTGTAAGAATTAAGTTTCTTTACCTGTCTATGTAGCTGGCATTGTTGACACAAGCAGACTTCAGGATCCACAGAGTACCAAACAGGCTGGACGGGCTGCCATTTGCCGCTCTGTAGGAACAAAAAACAAACATCCACATTTGTCATTCTAATGTCAGAGTACCAAACAGGCTGGACGGGCTGCCATTCGCCGCTCTGCAAGGTACAAAAAACAAACATCCACATTCGTCATTCTAATGTCAGAGTACCAAACAGGCTGGACGGGCTGCCATTTGCCGCTCTGCAAGGTACAAAAAACAAACATCCACATTTGTCATTCTAAGGCCACACCAATTTAATTTCTTGGTTAACGGATTCGCCGCTTCATTTTTTTCTGATTTGCAAATAAAAATAAAAATTCAGAATCAACTGCAAAATGCTCATATTTTGCCCTGAACAGTTGAAAACAGTCCTTTTCATCCTAGTTGTTACAGTTATTCCATCTTTCAATGCAATGGTATCATTAAAAGTTCAAAATTCATTGTTTAAATTTTGAACCAGCCTGGTGTGTTGACTTCATGGCTCCTTTCGTACCATTTTGGGCCATAATACGATGCCTAGACCTTGTTTTTTTTTTTTATCGCCCGCCCGCTCCATTATTTGTCTAGAAAAATCCGTTAACCAAGAAATTAAATTGGTGTGGCCTAATGTCCGAAAATCAAACTTTGAGGACACTATTACCAAAACTTAGATGATCACTTAAGTTATCTGTCACCTTTTTTGATCTGTAAGATTCTATCCTTGCTTCACATGGTGAGATCTTTAAAAGAGGAGTCTTAAAGGAAGAGTTAGTGTTCCTTACTTCTCATAGTTGGTGAGCCCCTCGTAGATGACTTTGCCGACTGCAGCATAGAGACATTCCAGTTCCTCATACTGGGATGCAACACTCGAGGTGCCTGGGGAGGGGGGCAGAAATGTTGTTTCAAAACTATTGCTGAAAATATAATTATGAAACTTCTAATACCAGAGGGGGGGGGGCAAAAATGTTTCAGAGCAGTTGTTGCAAAGACACTCAATATGGACTTTCTTCTACAGAAGTAAAAAGAGAGCTGTTGAAAAGAAAAGGTTCAGATTTCTTTTAAAAAAAAACCTAGACTGCTACTCACTTGGTTCAGTAGGGAAGATGCTCATCAGTTTGGCCAGTAGCTGTTGGACAAATCTCACCACCTGTAATACAAATTGAATTCATGATGTATTAGGAAGAACTGGTTGAACAAGACAATAACTCAGTATTTGCTCATATATGTAAGTGTTGACTAGTTCTTTTAGAGATGTTGAAGAACCATCCCCTCCATGACTTGGTGGAGGGACTGACGAGCACGGGGAGACCCTTAAGGAACGCGGGTGGACTCAGGGTTCCCATGGCAAGAACCTCCAGACTGCAGAGGTCATTTCTGCATCAAGCCATCAGACTCTCTAATAATCAATAGCAGACCTAGTGTTGTTTTTTTTATGTTGTACATACTGTAATTGTTATGAATCTGTATGTCCTGTTTGTACCCTCGTTGTATGGTCAGCGCAATTCAGCAGTCCATATTGTTCTTTATGTACTGCTGCTAGGCTGACCACTGTTTGAATAAAGAATAAAGAATAAAGAATAGAAGAGTAAAGGATGTTGCTCAATACGCCTAAAAAGTTATCGCTGTAATTTATCCAGTAGTAAAGTTTGAGGTGCCTAATGAGTACGACTAACTACATTTTGTACAAACCTTCTGGTTTCCACAGGTCATGCACGCTGCGATGCCCCTCTGCAGGGGTTTGAAGGTGGCCAGGATGTTCTGTGGTGAACCTTGTACTTACATGTACGAAACTGTTGTGTTATACCTCATGAAACAAACATCCTAAATGCCTACCTTCTGGTTTCCACAGGTCATGCATGCTGCGATGCCCCTCTGCAGGGGTTTGAATGTGGCCAGGATGTTCTGTGGTGAGAGGGTTCCCAGCAGGTATGTCAGCAGCTCCAGGGCTGTGCAGATGTTGGCAAAGTTCGCCTGTCCGCTCTGATCCTTGGGAAAACAACCCACTTAAAACGTGCACATAGTGAACTAGCAAAGACAGACAGACAAACACACACACACACAGACAGACAGACAGACACACACACACAGACAGGCACACACACACACACACAGATACACTCGCACACACACACACATACACACACACACAGATACACTCGCGCGCGCACACACACACGCGCGCGCGCGCGCACGCACGCACGCAATGACCTAAGGACAGTTACTCACAATGGTCATAAGCAGTTTGTCTATCCAGGCCAGCCTTAGCTCGGAGTTGGGCCAGAGATCGGGTTTCAGCGCGGTCTTCACCAGGAAGACGCAGCGTTTGGACAGCATCTCACCTGGAGAACCCTGGGTTGTAGACGCCTCGTTCACCTGTACAAGACACGAAAGCAAAGGCTTAAAGATGTGCAACTGTTACTGTACCAGTGTTTTTGTTTCTTCAATCTGGGTGAAAAAATTTTTGTTCATCTCAAGATTTTTTTTTTAAATGGAAAATAAACGTCACATTTATTATAATGGTAGAAGGCACTACATGTTTTATCTTACTAACATAAGGACACCAAAAACAGTACAAGCAGATTGTGTTGAAGTCCTTTTTAATTCCAATTTTGACCAATTTTTTCTGCAAAAGTTCTTCACCTCTGGCATTCATCAGACCAGGTAATCAAAACAATCACCAGTCTTGGTATAAACACAATATACAGATTCTACAGATCCATTCAGTTGCTTGAGTAACTGTATTATTGGCACATCTGCAGCATAACTAAAGGTAAAAACTGTTGATTCCTACCTGGCAGGCAATCTTGACCAGGAAGTTGACCACGTTGTCAGCGTGGATTTTCTCAATGGGTTTGCTGACGAGTTCCACCTGCGGATTTCGGGACGGCTGGAAACAAACAACATGTTAAGTTATATAGTACATTGTATAACAGCCAGGAGGTGCACAGATTTTCAGCAAATTCTTACCACACAAAGACATCGCATATTTGATCCATGAGTGTCAATATACAGTACGTAGGATTGTGTTGTTTGAAACCTACTACAGTCTTACATACATGTATGAACTGACTAGAATATTGAGTTGACTATGAAAAATTTGGTTTTCAAGCCCTGAAGCTTTATCTGCCAGAACCATTCTCATCTAGTTTTATGTCTCAGTGGGTTAGAGTTAGGATCAGGCACAAATTTGGATAGTTTTCACTTTTCAAAGAACAGTACATTTGCCCCAGGCACCGTGTTGGATATACTAATGTCCAGAATGGTGCCTGGATACAACCCTACCCAAAAGCCAGCTGTACTCACCGTAGCCAGGTGGTGCTAACAAATATCTACTCCATAATAGTTCTAGGGAAAAATCTGTCAGCTGTACTCACCGTAGCCAGGTGGTGCTAACAAATATCTACTCCATAATAGTTCTAGGGAAAAATCTGTCAGCTGTACTCACCGTAGCCGTCTGTGACGAGTGTCGGACACGCTTTGAGTCCTGCGGAGACTCCACCGACATGGCACGCTTGACCTGCGAGGTCGTCGGCACGGAGACGCCCTCCAAGGGGGTGATCTGGGCGGAGGGGGAGGGGGGTAGTGTTAGATGTCAGCTCAACAATTTAGTACAGAAAATTAACATTTGTCAAAACTAGACACTTAAGGTAACATTTGCAAAGCAAAGGCATAATGTTTACCTCCGCATACATGTACACATGGTCTGCTTTGTTGATTCTTGCTCAAACACATTCATACATGTATATATGGTCAGACTGGAGTCTAAATAAATCCCTCCTGCTATAAAATTGCAACATGATGTAACCCAACACTAGTTACCATGGTGACAGACGTCTGGTTCAGGTCATTGACCTTGTTTGTTTGGAGAAGAAGAGGAAGAAGAAACAGAGCAAAAACAATATGTTTCCTTCTAAGGTAAACATAATAAATGTCCCACTCCCCTTCAGTCTGCTGCTCCTGTTCATCCTTGACCCTCTGCATCTCCCACTTCACGATGACCTCACACAGTTCCACGGCCAGACGCCGGTGCTCAATTGACGCCTGCAGGACAGCACAAAATATGATTAGATGGTGCTGACAGATGAACTGTTGAGTTTTATATTGATGCTCTATCTTTCATTTTTACCATGAATAACTAGTGATTCCACGGCCAGACGGCGGTGCTCAATCAACGCCTGGGAAGGGGGAAGCAGGACTGGTTGTTTTTCAAAATTTTCTGAACTTTCATGTAATCAACTTCATATGGCAGTGAAACAAATTTCAAGCTGAAAAGCAACCCTATCACTACAGTCTGCAATTCAAGATCCACATCATGTAATCATTTTCAAGTCTATTACTTTTTATTTATTTACTGGTTTGGCTGTTCAACCCTCACAGCCAGGGCAGCCCAACTAGCCAGTTGCTATATCACAAGGGGCTTGTCCTGCTGACAAGACATGACAAAACATTACAGCAACATGTACAGGTGGCTTAACAATATATAATTATAATAATTATTCTTTTGTAGATCAAAACTTCCTAGTACAAAGGAACTAAATACATTGTAAGTGAGAAGAATTGAGTTCAAGTTGAGAAATCTGAGGTCCTTACACTCGGAGTGAAGCCCAACCTCTGCATAGAGCTGACCATGTGCTGAATAAGGTGGTGCCTGACTGGATAGTACACCTTATAGTGACGCACCAGCAGTTGGCTGGAATATAGATTGATAGTAATATTTATAATCATCATAAATTAACATAAAAATAGAACATTGTGTGGTGCCTGATAGGGTAAGGCACAAGCACAAGTGATGCAAGCAGTTGGTTGGAATATTATGATGATGGCTGGAATATATTAAGATAATTATAATTATCATAAATTAACATTCATATAGTGTGGTGCCTGACAGATTAATGTTGCACTTAGCAATCTGCTGTGAAAAGAGTATTGCAGGGCTCGAAATTAACATTGTCCCAGTGTCAAATGACACTAAATTTTCAGCTTGGGACAATTCAAATTACGTTTCGGGACAATTTTGGGGCAATTGGAAAATTCTAAGACCATCCACGTCATTTGGGAACGTGATCCATCCATCCCTGCTGCAGACTGCTGGCAGCCTATAAATATATAATACTCTGACAAACATTTAAATTTGACCAATCAGGGATTCCAAATATCAGGGACGGTGCCATGCCCATGATATTATGATCATGTATTTCCCTACATTTACTAATAAAGTGGACTTCAAGTTGTACAAATTCAGTTGTTATTTTCTTATTTTTGTCATCAACTTATTTCCTGAAAAGCAGGCTGGGACAGTCCATCTTCAGTTCGGGACAATTGAAATCTATGTTCGGGACAATTCTGGGACAATAGTGAAAAAAGTTAATTTCGAGGCCTGGTATTGTGATCACTATTTGCTTATTACGTGTTTCCTTCAGCATGCATGGATAGTAAAGCACTTACAAGGCAGTATTTCTCCCCTGCAGTTTCCAGTATACTATAATTACTTACAGCATGTGCACTAGTTGTGCCACAGTGTGCCCCTCCTCTACTATAATCTTCTTGGTCCAGTGGGTCAGCATCGCCTGGGAAAAAACAACACAACAATCAGTCACAGACAGCATCACCATTAAAGCTTTCCCTCAGCTAAAACTGGACATTAAACAATTTTTCTATACATACAAATTTCAATTGGGGATTCATCAAACTACAGTAACTCAATTTTGTGGATTTCTCATTGGCAGAGGTCTTCATTACAAATCATTCTTTTTATTAATTTTCACAAACACAAAATGGAAACCTACATTGTAATACTGAAAGGAATACAGGAAAACTAATTATACTGAAAGGACATGTGGGACACCAAAACACAGATAGATAAAACCATGAGAAAACAATGAGGATAAGGTATAACAGGTTGCACTCTTGGCACTGGTCTTTGTTCTTACATTTCCATCCTCCATGCGTGCAGGCATGGCCGGTGTGAGAATCTCCAGTGCCTGTTGTACCACTTTCCTGGCCTCCAGTGCATGGGCCTTCAGTAGGCTGTGGAACACCTACAGTAGGGGACAGTAACATCACAGTTAACAGTAACAACTGGTAACCAACATCACAGTTAACAGTAACAACTGGTAACCAAGCCTAACTCTAACCCTTCCTGGCTTCCAGGGCATGGGCCTTCAGTAGGCTGTGGAACACCTACAGTAGGGGACAGTAACATCACAGTTAACAGTAACAACTGGTAACCAAGCCTAACTCTAACCCTTCCTGGCTTCCAGTGCATGGGCCTTCAGTAGGCTGTGGAACACCTACTCTCATCTGCCGAATAAACATACGGGTACGTTTATTTTTTTGGGCCCAAACATCCACCCAGTATGTTCTTATTTTGCACAGTACGTTTATTAATTTTTTGAAAACCAGTAATTTTTTTCAACTTCGTGTGAAAAAAATTGACAAATCATCAACGTGAAGACGTTTATAAATGCGTATTGTAGCGAGAAACTTGTCATTTTCGGGCCGGTTTTTGCAATCACCGCGTGCATAAATTCGTCTGAATGTTCTATTGTCATGGGTGGTGCTTATCAAAATACGAAATATTAAATGCCTTCTTTTTTTTCTAAATTCCTAATTGCAAATAACACTTAAAGATTTGTGCATATATCAGTAAGGGCGCATTTTAGTACAAGAGACACAGGTTACCCGTCAATTTTGGTAATTTTCTGGGGGGTACGTTTATTCCGGGGGTATGTTTATTTGATTTTGAAGATTTGTCCGGGGGGTACGTTTATTCCGGGGGGTATGTTTATTCGGCAGATGAGAGTACATGTACAAAAGAACAAGGATGTATACTATTATTAGTTATAGTCACAAAATGTACATACCCACAACAGGTACTGTGATAAATCTAACCCTAACACTTCTGTATTATGTAGCCAGTGAACTGCAAACCCATCAAGTCTGTACTACTACCAGTACTACAAAAGTGGTGTAAAGAACTGACAGAATGGATTTCAAAGATTGTAGTTTTCCATTACACCTGGTCTAGTGAAAACAAATCTAGTACCTGCAGGACAATCCTCTTATGTATGGCGAACTTGGCGATGATGTGAGACAGCAGTAGGTGGCCGTGGTACTTGGTAGCCGGATCCACACAGTTCTTGGGCAGGAGACACGGCCAGGCAAATGTCATCAGCCGGCGTAGCTTGTTTCCTTGTCTCCTGGGGAGCAACCGGCAAAGAATGTTTACCACAGTTGGAAACAAAGGCTTTGTGTAGCCTTTTCCCTTAAGAACAAAATAGTTTAATTGCTTTCAAAGGCAATCAGTTACTATATTTCTGAAAGCTTGTTTCCTTGTCTCCTTGGGAGCAATGGGCACGGAATGTTTATCAGGGCTTGAAACACAGGCTTCGGTTACATGTATGTAGCCTTTCCCTTTGTTAAGGATAAATTGAAATTAAAATACCTACAGAATAACAAAAATAAACACTGCTGAAGCTTGTTTCCTTGTCTCCTGAGGGGCAACAGGCATGCACAGAATGTTCACCAGCATTACAAGTTTGTTACTTTGTTTGCTACTTATTTATTTCACCAGGTGAAGACATTTTGCCAAAATGTATACTGTCTGTCTTAAATTAAGAATAATTTTGTAAGCTCTAGGTAACATATAACATAACACTGTATGAAACAAGCCAGAACTCAACATCTCTCTGCTGCAAAAACAATACTTTTAAATTGGACTTCTCAGCAGAATCCTCACGGCATCCTGGTGGAAGAGCAGAAGAGCACTAAGGTGCTGGCTGTTTGTTTGTTTGTTTGTTTGTTTGTTTGTTTGTTTGTTTGTTTGTTTACTCACTTGTTGGCTGCGTCATGGATGTGTGGAGAAGCCTGTTCAACCAGCAAAGCCGAGAATTGCAGTAGTAAAATCCTCACGGCATCCTGGTGGGAAAGCACTAAGGTGCTTGGTTGGCCTCGAGACTGTAGGATAAGGAGGGGGCAAGCCAGCGTTTACAGTGGGGAGGCACCCAAGCAGACAGGGATAGTACAGGAGATATACCAGGGGACTCACTAATCTACAAGCAGAGGTTATTTTTTTGTCACTTACAAAATTTTTAGCAGTGACTGTAATTTCTTTTTGCCTTCTTTTGAATTTTCTTTTTGAAAATGAAAGAAATTGCGGCCACTTCTAGGAAAACATAAACATCAAATCATGGAAAGCTGAGAAAAAAATTTAAAAATGAACAACCAATCGAAACCTCTGCTTGTAGAGTAGGGAGTCCAGACATTTTACTCTACTGAATATTCTAACACCGTAAGGAAATATTGAACAAAAAGGGATGGCAGAAAACCAGTCAGACACCAGCTAAAGCTGAGCTTACGTAGATCACATACAGTACGTCCTTAAAGTTACAAAAGATGTTCTGCTGAAGTGCTTTACAAATTGCAGATTTTGCGCAGGCACAGTACATTCTGCCAACATGCTTATAGTATACATTCAAACTCTCAACAGAGCTGAGCTTACATGCCTATAGTATACAATTACAAGCTCTATTTTCAGCAATCTTCACTAAGCTATTTTTCTTGATTCTCAGACATTTGAACCAAAATTCAACAGATATAAGTTAGACAATTGAAGGAAAACCTGAATTTGACAAAAAATTTTAAAAAAATGAATTTGACAAAAAATGAGAAAATTAGCAGAAAATTCTAAATCAAAAACCATCATTACAAGGCCAATCATTACAAACTACAAACAAGTGTTAGTAACATGAGTAAACAAAGGCTCAAACAAAAAATAAACCAAAAAACGAACGAGGCTCGTACCGTGTGTCCGTATGGGTTCTCAGGGTCGATAACTTTATTGATGAAGACACTGATGAGGTTGGTTTCATCATCAGACTCTGGGGTTGGGGGGCCTCCGATCAGCTGGGAATAAAAATGATATACGATGTACAGTGTAAGATAGCTGTAAAAAAACTCTGTTACTGTAACAAATTAAGGTTGGTTTCATCATCAGACTCGGGAGTTGGGGGGCCTCCGATCAGCTGGGAATTCAGAATCAGAATATACATTTTATAGGTTGAGGTAGGACTCTATACTCTATACAAAACTTTTTTAAGCTGGCAATATAGGGTGATGGACTCTGATCAGCTGAATTCAGATTATAGTGTGAGGTGGGGTTTTCTACATTCCTCTATAGAAAATTATGAATAAAACTCTGACCGTAGAATTCCATGGAAAACTCTACACAAAACTCTATGCAAAACTTTTCCTGAATTTTGAAAAATTCTTCTAAATCACTGTAAAACCCTAAATAAAACTTTAGAAGAGTTTAAAAGAAGAGAACTTTACTCGACAGAAAACTGTGTAGAACTCAATAGAAAAGTCTGTAGAACTATATAGAAAACTGTAAGGAACGCCGTACTCCTCTTAACAATAGAAAACTGTAAAACCCCTCCCTACCTTCTCCCCCTGTCCGTTCTGGAAAGCTGTGCTGAACATGGGGATCAGGATGTGCTGTAGAGCTTTTGCTTTAAGCTCTTGAGGAAAACTCTGGTCGTGGAACAGCTTCACAAACTCCAAGAAGATGGTCCTCTTCTGGTCTATACTCGTCACCTGTGGACAAGAATAAGGAGATTCTAATCATCAGATTCTGCAGTTCCTTTAAGAACTATTCCTTGAAATATATGAGGTGAGTGAGAGTGTGTAAGATACAAGATTCCTTGTTTCACAAAAGACTACAAAAGTGTAGAAGATGAAAAGTGTTCAAAAAGGAAAGATGCTAGCAAAATTTGACTTTGTCATGCAGTTCCTTAAAAACTATTCCTTGTAGAACTATTCCTTTAATAAATAACTAAGGTATAAGTAAGTTTAGTACACAAGAGACTACAAAAGTGAAGAAGATGAGTAGTGCTCAAAAGGGAAAGAGGTTAGCAAAATTTCGTGTCCTGAAAGTCTATGAAAGCAAAAGTGTTGAAAATAAAAAGTCTATGAAAATGAAAGTGTTGAAAATAAAAAGTCTATGAAAATGAAAGTGTTGAAAATAAAAAGTCTATGAAAATGAAAGTGTTGAAAATGAAAAGTGAGAGTACCTTGTAGAGCTCCTCCTCCAGGAACGTCTTGAGAAAGTGAAAGTTGGAGATGAAGCGCAGGGTGAACGCCCTCAGCAGCTGGAACAGCAGCTCAACCTCCCCGGGGTTCTGCCTGCAAGTCGTCATGGAAACAGTTGTCATGGGAACAGTCGTCATGACAACAATCATCATGGGAACAGTCGTCATGGGAACAGTAATTGAAACAGTCATCTTAGCAACAGTCGTCATGGAAACAGTTGTCATGGAAGTCGTCATGGAAACAGTCGTCATGGAAACAGTCGCCATGGCAACAATCATGGCAACAGTCATCATCACAACAGTCGTCATGGGAACAGTCAACATGGAAACAGTCGTCATCGAAATGGTCATCATGGGAACAGTAATTCAAACAGTCATCATGGCTGCAGTCACCATGCAACAGTCACCTTGGTAACAGTTGTCATGGTGATAGTTCTCATGAAAACAGTCATCATGGAAACAGTCATCATGGAAACAGTCATCATGACAACAATCATGGCAAGTCATCATGGCAACAGTCAACAAGACATAATCTGGTACAAGACATTGGGAAGAAATGTCTAAGACGTTGTGCTTACTTGACACAGCTGAGGAGACACTTGACGAGCAGCTTGGGTTCCCGCCAGTACGAGATGCTCAACTGCTCCTTAAGAAACAAGACAAGAGACAAGTCAGAGACAAGTCGGTCAGGTTCTTTCTCTCCTTAATGAGAAAGAGTGAAAACTTCTGTAAAAATACTAAAACTCACATAACAGTATATCGGTATACAAATATACAGTCTGATAATAGCAAAAGTCTAACTGCGAAGACATTTTCCCTGACCTTGCTGTGTTTCTCCTGGAAGTCATCTGATATCCAGATCTGCTTCAGGTGGCTCATCTGGAAGGAACAACAAATAATTTAAGAAAACATACCTAAGTCTCAGGACTTAATTAGTGCACCTGTTTTGCCTTCCCTTTCATCCAAATAAACAAATAAAAGATTAAGTTAAGTCCTTAAGACTAAACAAGTGTACTCTAGGTGGTGTTGAAAAAAGACACAGCAAGTTTGGAACACAACTCCATGAGAAGCATTGGGTGTTTACTAAGACAGGCTGGGCCATGCTTAACTTATATTGACTTGTATGCGTTGCAACAGGCTTGGTCCCTGGCTAGGTTGCTACTTACCAACATTGGATGTTTACTAAGCCAGGCCGGGTCGTGCTTGACCAGGATGCTGTAGATGTGGGTTTTACCCTGGGTTTTACCGTGGGTTGTGACTTACCAGCATGGGATGCTTGCTCAGCCAGGCCGGGTCGTGCTTCACCAGAATACTGTAGATGTGGATGGCCTGATACTGGAGCTCCTGCTGGGTCAGGTAATTCGGACTTCCCGGCCGCAAACCACCCTGGAAAAAAGGGAAAAAGAGGAAAGATGTTGAGAAAAAACATCTAAAACATTTTGGATGTAAAGGACATTGAGTAAAACAACCCCCATGGGTACAGAAGTGACTGTGAAAATACTGCGCATAAAAGTACAGTGAAAAACTCAGGAATGCCAGTACAGGATAGGTTTTACCAAAGAAACTTCAAGAGCTAAGAGAGCTCGCAAGACAGAAGACACAGTGGAAGGAGATGAAGGAAGACTGAACAAGCAGCTGCAGGAAGTTTTCTTACTACTGTAGATGCAGATGAAAATACTGCGCATAAAAGTATGGGAAAAGATCTAGAGGAAGACCACGGAAGACATGGCTGGCATGTGTACTGGAAGATGCCAGGACGACCATGCAACAACCCAGTCTGACCCTAGAGGACCTGAAGACGATTGCCCACGACTGCCAAGTATGGCGCAGGACGCTGTGCAGACGGAGGGACGACTTTGACGCAGGCCACTCACAGAGATGAGGAGACCTACTCAAGTACAAGTACAAGTAAGTAGATGCAGAATACAGTGGGTGATGATAAATCATAATGATAGGTATTACCTTGACTGTGCTCAGCGCAACATTTGCCAGTTTGAGTGGGTTTGCCTGGATCACGTCTCGGAAAGGTTTGGCCTCTTCTCTCTTCAGCATGGCCTGCAGGGAAAAACAACAGAATCAGTTTCATTTTCAGATGTAAAGTAAGCCTGGGGTAAAATCTAAGAAATTATTAAATTTGAGACTGCCATATTTTGTCTACAAGTCTCAAAAATCCAGTTAACCATGTCGACTTGAAAGTTTCCTTACATTATCGTTGAAGAGGTTCTAGCAAGAATAGGTCACTTGATGACCAAGTGGACGTCGAAAAATTGGTGCATGTTTTCTAGCTTTCAAAATAGTCACTGAAAGATGAATATTCTTTAACTGTTCCTTATATAAGAACTAGAAACTACTGAACAGTGAAAGTATGAATGTCCTTACAGTGAAAGTCCTGTTGGTCTGAGGCTCCTTGAGGTGTGCTTCTTGGATGAAGAGGTCGACACTCTGGGCAGGGTAACGCAGAAGGAACTTCATCAGGGGGTCTCGGAACGGACTACCAATCTGGAGGGGGGGGCAGGAGGGGTTAGTCTACAGACATCAAGTAAGTGACATCACAGATCTACATACTATTAATAATGAATAAGTTTGCATACGGCTATTCCGAGATCAGGGTGCGCCAAAGGGTTGCACTTGGGCCAATTTTTCAAGTTTTATATTTTTCTACTTTCAGTGCAGAAAATCGCACTAGAGGTGTTGCCATACATTGCACTTTTTAAATTTTTGGATAGAGACGTTTGGTTCAAAAGTTGTGCTCTTCCAAACTTAGCCCACTCATTTCAGATGTGGCCGGCAACGGACACTACAGCTAAGCTGTAGTAAGCTGTAGTGTCCGTTGCCGGCCACATCTGGCCACTCAAGTACATGACAAGAACACCAAATCTTGCAAGACCTGTCATTTAGGGGTTGACAAAATGCTACAGAAGTAACATAAATGACAAAATTACTTCAAAATTGCAACAAAATGCAATTAATGTACCTACATGGTATACTTGGCAACGGACACTACATGGCAACGGACACTACACCCTTGAGGTTTTTTGACATTATTTCATATAATTACAGCAATAGACTGAAATAGCTACTGTGTTTTAAGTCAGCATCTTCAGCTGTTTCAGAACCTGAAATCATATGCACCACAGCTTTTTCTATTTTAAGTTATTACCGAGCAACGGACACTACACATTTTCTCGGACAAAAAAGACAGGTAACTGTAAGCCATCAGCCATATTAACCCAAAGGACAAGCAACATAAAAACACATGTTTTGTGTCATATATGGATGTACCTTGCATAACATGCAAAATGGCCAGTTCTATCACCATCCTTTTTAGTACAGGGAGATAAGTTAATTGCAATGTGTTAATTTATGAATTTTACATAACGTGTACAACATATTGATAAATGCGCTCTAGAAAAGAGAAATTTCCAATCATCATCTAGGTTTTTTGACAAAAAATATCAGACTGAGCATGTCTGAACATATTGCAAATTCTTTTCATTCCTATTTTTTTGTTCCCAAATTACTTAAAAGCACATTTCAAAAACTGGCATTTTTCAAGTGCAACAGCATAACGTAGATTTTATGCCAATTTCTGGTCTTAAATTGGCCATAGCATAAGTTTTAAACATCTTAACACCAAATCTCTTCCTGATTGTCTGGAAAATAACTGTACTAGTATAACAAGTTTGATAAATGTCAACAGAATGCGATAAATACAGAGTAAGATTGACATAACGATGTACGATGCCATTGGCGCACCCTGATCTCGGAATAGCCGCTATTATTAAGGAAAACATTATTTTTGCAGTTTCTTCTTCTTCTGTTTCTAACAAACAAGCATGAACTGAAATGGTCAAATGTTTTTTAACCTAACTTTGGAGAATTTGCCTAATTTTGGAGGATATTTAACCTAATTTTGAAGGACTTTTTAACCTAATTTTGGAGGATTTCTGCCTAAGTTTTGTGATTTTTAACCTACATTGTAATTTTGGAGAATTTTAGCATAATTTTGGAGTATTTCTGTTTTACCTCGAGCAGCAGAGCGCGTTCTGCCTTCAGCACCAAGGTCACCAGAGGGTCAATCATCTTGATGGAGGCGGCAGGGATGGTGTGGAACATGTGGATGATCGCTGCACACACCTTTATCACCTGTCAATCAAACCATGGCAACCATCAATCAAATGATGGCAACTGTCAAACCATGGCAACTGTCAATCAACAACTGTCAAACCTTGGCAACTGTTATTCAAACCATGGCAACACACACCTTTATCAAACCATGGCAACAGGGAACAGTAGACTGTCAATAAAACCATAGCAGCTGTCAATCAAACCATTGTAATATATGTAACCAAGTAACACATTAAGAAGTGAGTGTGGTCTTAAATCATTGTGTTTACAAGACTAAGACGTATCAGAGGACAGTAAAGAGTGGTGAGTGCAGAATTATCCTTAGAAAAGTGAAGACAGTGTATACATAATTATGATTATTCTTTACAACAAGAACAGTGAAGCTCATCTTTGGAACAGAAACAGACACAACTAAAGAAGTTGACAGAGGAATAAAAGTTGTTAAGAATTCCCTTCCATCCTACCTGACAGTCGGTCACGAATCCCTAAGAAAGCGTTTTAAGGGGAGAAGAAGAAGAAACGTCATGTCAAGTTGCGTCTGTAAGCATCAGTAAGACTCAGCCAGATGACAGATGTATTATGTCCAGAACCATGTCTACATGTATCTAGTTCTGTGCCTGAATGGTTAGGGTTAGGATCAGGCACGGTTCTGGATAGTCTCTGCACATCCAAGAACATAGATTTGCCCCTGGCACAGTTCTGGATAGACTCCACGTATCCAAGAATGTAGATTTTTCCCAGGCAAAGTTCTGGATATCATGTAGACTATCCAGAATTGTTCTGGATAAAGCATGGTTCTGGATACACATGGACTATCCGGAACTGTGTCTGAGTATGGTTCTGGATAAAGCACAGTTCTGGATATGGACTGTCCAGAACCATGGCTGAGTGTGATTCTGGATAAAGTACACTTCTGGGTACACTTCGACTATCCAGAATCATACCTAAGCACACTTCTGGGTACACTTAGACTATCCAGAATCATACCTAAGCACAGTTCTGGATACACTTGGACTATCCAGAACTGTGCCTGAACATGGTTCCAGACAAAGCACGGTTCTGGATACGACAATTTTAGCGATACTTTAAGAAAGACAGGAGGAAGTTGACTCACATTTCCATCGGTGCGCTGTCCCCCCTTCTGTGCAATAATGGCCACGTCCATCCACTTCTTAAGGTGGGCCTGGCAAAACAAACACAACAAAATCAAACATCATAAAATAAATTATCATCTATCCCTAATAATTCGACTGTTTGAGCCTCAGATGATTTTTTTTTCTTCCTTTTTGAGAACAGGCAAAAATCAGTGCGCGTGCGGATGTCATCCATAAAATTAAGGCCGTGTGGCCTATAATGTTTCTTAGCAATTCTGCTTGCTGAATCCATTTTCCGGAACTGGAAGCTGCTAATTTCCTCTTCAAACAATTTCAGTCTGACCTATCTAAAACGTTGACGTAAACAGAAAAATTAGCTTCTATAAAACATGACTTATTCAACTCCACCGCCTTTAAAAAAAAGGCTTTTTGAGAGAACGATTTATTTCTTTGACGCTGGTGAATCAAGCCGCACGCATCTGACTGACGATTTGGCCATAACGTTCTTTAACAAACTGTATAAAATTGCGCGAGCTACAATTTCTCCAGATACGCACCGAAAATATCTACAAATCAACATGGATCGTCGCCTTAGCGTTCTCAAGGTATGGTTGCTGTTAAGTGTCGTACAATTCGCGGCCGAGAATGAGTCTTGTTCTCCAAAATGTAGCTGGGCAAGCTGCTCTGACGGTCGGCTTCAGTTCAGCGGGAGTTGGTTTAAGACTAGAAAGGTCAACCACCCTTGTCTCACGTGCGATCGTGGTTTGGAAGATCCAGGATCTCTTCCCGATGTTTCATGCTTTGGTCACCCGAAATGGGTCGGCGTCAGAGGGGTTCCGTTTGGCATTCTGTCGGCAGCAAAGTTGCCCATCCCAGAGCCGACACAACTGGCTTTCCTCACCTTGGTCGATACCGAAATTACGGACTTGGAGCAAAACAGCTTAGCAAACCTTCCGCACTTACAGGAGCTGCACTTGGAATTCAACAACCTGACTGAAGTAAAAACCAGCTACTTTACAGGTCTAAATGATAGTTTGAGGCATCTTCGAATCTTGTCTCTCGCACACAACAAAATTTCACACCTAGAATCAGGTTGCTTCCGAGACCTCACTGGTCTTTGGGAGTTAATACTTTGGAGTAACCAGGTAAGGTCTATAGACCATTCTACTTTCCTGGGTCTTGGTTTGCTGAGGGAACTTGTTCTTGGGTTAAATCGTATTGAAACATTCTGTTGTAGAACTTTTCAATCTTTCAACCAGCCTTTCCTTCGCCTCGTAGACTTGAGGAGGAACAGATTGGTTCAAGCATGTCTCAGCGATGAGCTAATTAGCGGTTTTGACCGGCACGTGCACCTACCCATGGAATCCTTGATCATGAAACTTTCAAATACCCAGAGCATCGCCACTCCTGTCACAAAACTGTGGAGCCTCTTTTTAAACACTAGTCCTAGAAGACAAGAGCTATCTGTTGTTCTCGAGAACTTCAGTCTTTGTTTTCATCATGGCGACCACGAAAAGAAATACCGGATAGAGTGGAAAGAGGTGGAATCCAAAGATTATGTTTTCGACGCTTCCCCCTGTTTTACCTTACTCAGATCGGACACTCTACCAAAGTCAGCAACGGCTGTGGCACCATTCGTTGTTGTTTTAGCTAAACCAGGCTTATCTGACAGACAGCAGTGTGTTCTTGCTTGGAAGCGCCCAAAAGGTGTTGAGTTGCCACTGAGGGATAGTCTGAGCATTCGGCTTGTTACTATGGATACCGAGACACACAAAAATAGCGGCTATACAGCACTTATATTCACTGAGAAGTCAACAGAAGTGGGAAACAGTTCAAATATTCGGGAGGGTAGGAAACAGCAACGCAATGACCTTGAAGAAATCAGGAACGTGACCTGTATTTCTCTCACCCCAGACAAAGCTTACTCTTCGGTATTTGTAGCTAGTCCTACGCAAATTACAAAATGTACCTCCGGGAAAGTCGGCGTGGAAAACCACGTTCAAAACACTACAGAGAATAATACAGTCGCATACAATATCACTGAGATAAATAGCTTTAATCTAAAAGATAAAACCACACGAGCAACAATGACTCACAGAACACATTCAGAAAAGGAACATGTCCCCATGGGGTTGATTTTGGCATTGGCCATCGTGGGACTTTTTTGCCTAGTGCTTATCTTAGCCTATGTTTATAGAAAACATTTCGCTGTGCAAAATAATGACAGGCATGCAAGGCAAGGCAAGGATACAACCAAACAAATTCAACCGGCGATGACTGTAGCGATGAAAAGTATAAAAGCAAGAAGAGCATCGTCGCCTCCAGTTGTGGCACTTCAGGACACAACTCTAACGTCACATCTCCAACGTCAGTTATCGGCACCTAATGTTGCAAAAAACAGAAGAGTCGCCAATCACACCTCATCCGATGCCCCCCATTATTGGGAAATTCCGGACGCTCTCGTAGATTCCACCTACCAACCTGCCCCGGGAAAACTGGACGCCCCGCATTACTGGGAAATCCCGGACACCCTGGTTGACTTCGTTCCAACTTTGGACGAAATCGACACCCCTCGGGAAATCCCGAACGCTCGCGTGAGCTCCACTCGCCAGCATCCGACAACAGACGATCGTGACGAGACCCAGTATCGGGAAATCCCTAACTCCGACACCGTTCCAGGCCCCCAGCAGTTGTCTTCACTTCCTATTGACACGTCTGTCTGTAGGACAGTCTCAGATAACAATACAACTAACAGTACACCAAGGCCACCATCTCTTACACCAAGGCCACCATCTCTTCAGCATCAGTACTGCAATATTCCAGATGAAGATGGTGATTCTACCACCTTCTACGCATCAGCAATGGGAGCACACTACTTCACTGTCACTAAGAGCGAGGACAATCGTCGACTATACGAAGGCGTCGCCTCTAGATCTACCACAACAATACAGACAGGCGACGAACATTCGATTCCGGCCACATAACGTCCAAACGGCCTCAGTGTTAGGTCCGGATCCTGAAAACTAAAATTTGCATACTTGTGACTCGCTACATGCGCGCGGCCTTTACCCGAATCGACTACGTTCAAAGCTTAAGAGACACGGGGGACGCCATACGCGTTCTGCAATTTTTAACCACTGTTGTTCCCAGTCACTTTTACGTGATATGTTCAATATTATCAATTGATATCGTTATCATACACTAATGTAAAATGATATATGAAGTATACAGCAAATTGTAAATTCATCCGAAATGTAATGATAGTATGATAGCATTTCAAAATAGTTCAATTTTCTAGAAAGAAAAAAAACTTCGTTCGTGTGAATCTAACACCCAGATATAGCCAGAAATTAAGGAAATATATTCTGTATCAGAACTTACATGTATATAATAAGATGAACGAGAAATAAAACTGTTCATAGTGGAAATATCTTGGCTTATGGTATATCAATGTCAAGTCTATCCTTTCATATATTCAGGAAACAGTCTACCTTCCTATCTACAATGTATCTGTATCAGTATAGCCGGTATAACCGCCCTTCGGCGTAACACACCAGCTTCTGTATAGCCGGTATAACCGCCCTTTGGCGTAACACACCAGCTTCTGTATCTGTATAGCCGGTATAACCGCCCTTCGGCATAACACACCAGCTTCTGTATCTGTATAGCCGGTATAACCGCCCTTCGGCATAACACACCAGCTTCTGTATCTGTATAGCCGGTATAACCGACCTTTGGCGTAACACACCAGCTTCTGTATCTGTATAGCCGGTATAACCGACCTTTGGCGTAACACACCAGCAAAGATCTAGATCTTTTAATCTGTAATCACAGATCAAAAGGGATCAGGGATTACAAGGAATGCTGGATTAGCCCCTAGCCTTGATCGGAGATTGAGTGTACGGAAACAAAACAAAAATTAAATAGCTGTCTCAACCGAGAGATTACATATACGTATGATGTCTACGTTATTGGTCGAAAGCTTGTCATACCGGGATTTTGTCCGGTAATCTAAGCTTGCCCTACAAAATAAATTGTCTAGCAAACATCCAAGGACAGTTGCCATGCTATATTGTATGTAGACCACAGCAAAAAAAAAAAATATGGATGACATCCTCCACAGTTTACCATGAGTTGATCGCAGAGTTTCTCATTGAAGACATTAGGAAACAGTTGTGACGTTGGTGAGACGTTTGATGAAAGAGAGAGTCAGACTCCTGTAGTCACCCAGATACACGTTTATTTATTTGTTCTTGTTTTTAACATAAATACTAACGGATATTTACCATGAGTTGATCGCAGAGTTTCTCATTGAAGACATTGGGAAACAGGGTTGTGACCTTGGTGAGACATTTGATCACGAAGAGAGTGAGGCTTCTATGATCCCCCAGAACCATCAGTTTTTTTGTTTGTCTATTTCTTACTGTTTTACATAAATACTAACAAAGCTCACCATGAGTTGATCGCAGAGTTTCTCGTTGAAGACGTTAGGAAACAGAGTTGTGACGTTGGTGAGACGTTTGATGACCGACAGAGTCAAGCTTCTGTAGTCTCCCAAAACCATCAGTAGTGGCCGCACCGCGTTGTGGATCGTTTCTGCATCCATCTGTTGGTGCTTCAGGAACTGTAAACAACAATATTTGTTTATTTGTTTGTTTATTAGTTCTAGTTTTATGTTAAACATCTGTAGAAGGTAAACATTGTTTTTACTCGATTTCTTCTTCTACAAACAAAATTATTCTTTTTGTTCTGTTTCTTCCTCTTCTTCCATTTCAAACAAATAAGGCCAATGACCTGGACCAGACAGCTGTCACCATGGTAACTGGTGCTGTAGCAATTGGTAGGACAGATTTGTAGGCGCTGGTCACAACAGATTACAATGTATATGTATGTGTTAGAGTAATTAATGCATTACTAATTTTATTTGCCTTGCAAATGTTACCTTTACATTTCTAGTTTTGTTTGTTGTTTTGTAGTTACTGTAACAGTTTTAAATCTTTCCATATTCATTTTTTGAAAATATGGATACAACAGAAAACAACATTGGATTTTTGTTTGTAAACTTTGTTAAAAAGACCACTTACATCCTTCATACACTTCATGGCGGCTGTCTGCAGCTCCTCTGAGCTGGAGTTGAGAGACTTGAAGAGGACAGTGAAGATTTTCTCCCGCACCTGAGGGATGTAGTGGCAGGCTGCCAGGGCATCTGTAAAAATAAATAAAATTTGAAATTATATGTCATGGAGAAATATTTGCCAGGTCTAGCCATCGGTTACGCAAATTAAAATTAAAAGTTGAAGTTCCTTCCTGCATCAAATTTAGTGACGCATTGGGCAGCACCAATCTCAGTTTCAGTAGCCCTTAAGCCACACAATTAGCTTAAGCAGGGGGCTAGTCCACTGGTACATTTTGTGAAGTGCTGTGTGTTTAACTCCCATACTCTTTCAAAATGCTGAGTGCTAAGCAGAAAAAGCAGAATGTACCATTTTTCAAGTCTTTGGTATGACTCGGCCGGGGATCGAACTCACGACCTACTGAATGCAAGGCTAGTATTCTATCCACATGGCCATTGCATTATTACACGCGCTCAGCATGTAAAACAGATCAAAGAACCCACTTACTGAGTGCGCTGATGCGTAGTGGTGTCAGGGACTGCATGTTCTTGTAGCAGGGCAGTTTGATAACACTCACAAACAAACAAACAAACAAACACTTACTGAGTGCGCTGATGCGCAGTGGGGTCAGGGACTGCATGTTCTTGTAGCAGGGCAGTTTGATCAACATCGAATCCTCAGCCTCACACAGATTCAATAACTGGGGAAAACAACAGTCAAACAACATCAGTTTTCATCCCACACACTGAGCTGAATGCTTGAATGTTTCCTCACTCAGAAAAACGTAAAATTAGTCTCACCTCGGTGAAGAAAACCTTGTGCTCCATGATATTCAGGTCTATCGTGAAGAGTCGGGGCTGCAACGTGGTGCAAAAAGTGTTCCCCTCCTGGAGGTAGCAACAAGGCCTTTTGTTAAGACTCTATTGAAAACATGTCAAACATACACAAGAAAACAGGTACTCAAGCAACTGGCTATAGGTCAGTGAAGGTTAGACATCCGGGTAACAAGGCCTTTTGTTAAGACTCTATTGAAAACATGTCAAACATACACACAAAAAAAGTTACTCAAGCAACTGGATGGATTTTAAAAATGGTCAGACATTTCAAGTTAGCATTAACTTAGTCTAATTTTTATCTGACACTGTACCATGAGTCCGATCTGTGCGTTGGCAGGCTGATGTCTCAACAGGTGCTTCTTGGGAGGAATCATGTCTTCAAGAACCTGGAGAAAAGCAACAGTGTTAGAGTCGTGAAGTATGAAATTTGCTTTGAATTACAATCCACCAGGTGGATTACTGATGAATGAAAGAAGGACCAGAGGAAGTGACAGGTTGTGTTTCTTACATTTTTGTGTGGCTCCATGATGGCTGTGATGGTTTTGTCGGTGACTTTGGCCAGAACTCGCAGAGAGTGCATCGCCTGGGGAAACAGCAGCAAAGGGAGGTTAGACATGAGGGTACTAGTATATATATCATTGGCAGTGTCTGTACAACAGTAGTAGTTAAACATGCTGAACCAGGTTTCATGTGCAGCTCATAGAAACACATGGTCCCATCCCATGTACCTAGGCTCGGTGCAAAGGTATGTCTCCTGGCCTAACCTCTGACCCACCCGCTGCTGAATTGACCTCACTGACCTATGACACATCTATGACACCTGACCTATGACCTATAACCCACTTGCTGCATGACCATTTTCTTGCATGTCACCTTGTGCACCAGCTCCGAGGTGACCTCACTGACCTATGACCCACCTATGACCTATAACTGTTGACCCACCTGCTACCTGACCATGTTGTTGGAGGTGACCTCCCTGACCTATGACACACCTATGACATATGACCCCTGACCCACCTGCTGCCTGACCTATGACCTATAACCCGTGACCCACCTGCTGCCTGACCATGTTGTTGGAGGAGGTGACCTCGCGCACCAGCTCCAAGGTGACCTCCCTGAAGGCTTTCTCCTGCGCGGCCAGCAGCGCCCGGTTGCCGGGCGTCGGCTGGATGGGCGTGGCACACATCTTCAGCAGCTTCTCAAGGTCGGCCTTGGCAAGGTCAAGGGCGCCGCTGGACACCTACAGAGAGAAGACAAGAAATGCAAATGGTCTCTCATCTACTGATTTCAAAAACCTCTAGCACGTCATCAAGAAGGCCTTTCTTACTTTCTATAAACTGTTTCTATGAATATTAATCCATTACAACAACATGCTCTGAATTCTACTTCTTGACCCAGGCCAAGGGCATGTACTGAGGAAAGCGACCCCTGACCCTAACCCCTAACCTCTAACCTCTGTCCTCACCTCTCCGGTCAGGTCCATGAGGACGAAGAAGAGAGCCTTGAGGAAGGTCAGCTCGTGCTCCAGGATCCACCTTAGAGATGTGCGCTCCAGAAGGAACCGGATCGCTACACACCTGGAAAGGTACAGACACCTGTTATACACCTGTACTGGTACAGCATACACCTGTGAAACACCTGGGACTGACATGTTACAGTTCGTGCTCCAGGATACACCTTAGAGACGTATTTTCCAGCAGGAACCGGATTGCTACACACCTGCAGCAAAAAGGTACATCAAAATGACCCAGTGTTGGCGTCATACTTCAAAGAATCCACGTGACAAGCCTGGGTCAGTCTACTGAGGAAGACCAGAGTGACTGACCGGTTATACTGGCCTTTGGTTAAGGATGTCCTCTCGGATGGAATGTAGAGCAGAGGGGTCCCGTGTTTGAGAAGAGCTACACCTCAAGCTTGTTTAGGATACCAACGCACTTATTGAAAAGAGTAGGAGTACTTCCAAGTGTGAGTGGTTCAAACCTTACAGTTCGGTCTTATTCAGCTTGTACTTACTGTACAAAACTGGTACACCTAAGGACAGTTTACTGGTTACGTGAAAGAAACGAAACAAAATATTGGTGTGTACGTACCCGCCGTACTTTGCGTACCAGGCCCTCTCGTAACAGCAGGAACACAGACGCTCCACAATGTACTCAAACAGGGGCAGCTGGCATGCCTGGGGGGAGGGATAAACATAAGTTATTCATTCTCTGAACACAGAGGCTAGCAAGGCAAACAATATCCCTACAGTCAATATAGAAAAGAGATAAAAGAGGAAAGTTTTAGCTCACTGAAGAGGTGCTATTCCACCGGTTATGACCAAGAAGACAGACACTATGCACAGTATCAAAAGGTTCGTTGTATTGGGAAATTCCCCTAGCTCTTTTCAAAAAGTACAAAGGACAGTGGATCATACTGTCCTAAAGACTGTGACTCTTTCCGGAAAAGTGCATGTTGGGTGAGCAGCAACAGCCGGATTCGAACTCCCAACCTGTTGGTCCAGAGGTAGGGTCACTAACCACTGGAGTATACACACTACAGACAAAGGATAGAGGTTCACCTACTCCTTGGAGCCGAGCACAGTAGCGGTGACTTCTATGATAATAGCGAGAGCAATCTCTCCGATCTTGCAGAGTTCTTTCTCCTCATGTGACATGCACACAGCCAACAAACAAACAAACAACAACACACAAACCTTTTCCTTGGAGCCCAGCACGGTAGCGGTGACTTCTATGATGATAGCCAGGGCGATCTCCCCGATCTTGCAGAGCTCTTTCTCCTCATGCGACATGCACACAGCCACGGCGTCCACAATCACCAGAGGATCCATTCCTCGGTTTGTCTCTGCACCTCCAGACAACGGGAAAGGGCCTAGGAGAAACATAGTACAACGTTGGAGTCTGATTTTTTTTATGTCCAATCTTATAATTATTGGACATATTCTTGGAGCACATGCGTATGATTCTTGGAGCACATGCGGACACTTACATGCACTTAAAACTTGGGAAGATGCAGGATTTTTATTGGTCTGAGATATGGTCAACTCAATCCATTTTTAACGTCAAATATCTCACACATCACAATCATCAAAATTGACTGTACAGCTAAAAACTGGTCACTCTACATTTATTTAAAAAAAAACGAAATCTGGAAAATTCAACCAATTTCTGTAAACTTTAAGTGAAGTTAGCTCAATGAGAATACTGATACCACCACAGAGTACCAAATTACAACAAGGAAGTTTACAAATAAAATACTCAAAAGTGTTTTCGAAGACCCCCTAGGTATGAGACTTACCACACTGCTGCACCAAGGCCACCATGGTGTAGTGCCTGATGATGTTGGCCACGAAAGGCAGAGAGCTGGCTCTCAGGTCCTTTATCACTGCACACACTGGGAAGGACAGAGAAAACAATGTCATTTGTTTGTTTGTTTGTTTATTTAAATGCAACAGTGCATGACAAGTGGCAACCAGGCAGCAACAAGGCTGGTAGCGGCTACCACTGACACATGTCATGGTCTTAACATGGGTATCAGCTAACTAGAAAAGCATAATGATGCCTGGTCTAGGTCATTGACCTAATGTGTTTGGAATGGAAGATGAAGAAATGAAGCAAAAACAAAATGTTTTCCTTCTGGCCCTCAGGTCCTTTATCACTGCACACACTGGTATGAACCAAGGAAGTGTTACATTCAGAACCAGGCTTTATCCAGCAAAAGGAACCAAATTACAATCTGCTATAAAAATTTGAGCATAGGAACGTTGGAAATAGGCTATTGGGATTTACTTATACACAACAATGCTTACATTCCAATGTCTATCAGACACCTTCCTCAGAGCTTCTGACTGGAGTTCTGCTTCTCACCACTAAATGTAGCCGATGTATGTGACACTTTTGCGGCAAGAACACGCAAGGTTGGAACAATATCTGGTTGTGTATATAAGAAAATCCCAATATCCTATGTTCTACCAACCTGATGAAATTATTTTCGGAATGTTGGAAATAATGTGTAAAGAGTTACTTACTCATGGCTCCTGCCAGTGCCTGTTCGAAAGCCTTCCTGGCCATGGAGTCTGGGCACTTGTACAGGGGGGAGGGGGGCGGTGGGATCTCTCGCTCTGCAAAACTGCAGAAGGGAAGGAAAAATTAACAACAAGCAAACACATTTAACAACATCCTTATTATACTGTCTGTGATAGAGTTGTCCCCCAAACTCATCATGCTCACCAGGAAGCACTTGATGACCTTTCACCCATGACCTACCCCTGTAAACCATGACCTCTCACCTCTGGTGTGCCAGTAGCTGATCTCTTCCAAACTAACAATGCCCTCTCACCCCTTACCCATGACCTCCCACCCAAGTGACCCATGACCTCCCATCACTATGACCCATGACCTCTCACCTCTGGTGTGCCAGCAGCTGATGTAAGGACAGTTTGTTGTCCTTGAGGCTCATCATGCCCACCAGGAACCCATAGGGACCTCTCACCCCTCACCCTGGTGACCCATGACCTCCCACCCCCAGTGACCCATGCCCTCTCACCTCTGGTGTGCCAGCAGCTGATGTAATGACAGTTAGTTGTCCTCCAGGCTCATCATGCCCACCAGGAACCCATGGTGACCTCTCACCCCTCACCCTGGTGACCCATGACCTCTGACCCCCATGCCCTCTCACCTCTGGTGTGCCAGCAGCTGGTGCAGAGACAGTTTGTTGTCCTCCAGGCTCATCATGCCCACCAGGAAGCCCTTGATGACCTCGAGCGCCTGCCGTCGGTAGTACATGTCCACGTTGGGCGTCTTCAGGATGCTTACGGCCGTGTCAATCACCTGGCAACGGACAAAACATAAACAATCACCTGGCAACAGGCAAAACATAAACAATCACCTGGCAACAGGCAAAACATAAACAATCACCTGGCAAGAAACAAAACATAAACAATCACCCGGCAACAAACAAAAACATAAACAATCACCTGGCAACAGGCAAAACATAAACAATCACCTGGCAAGAAACAAAACATAAACAATCACCTGGCAACGGACAAAACATAAACAATCACCTGGCAACAAACAAAAACATTAACAATCACCTGGCAACAGATTAAAAACATAATACATGTACTGGGCAATTGCCTGGCAACAACCAAAAACATAAACAATCACCTGGCAACTGACAAAACAAAGTTTACCAGATACCAGTGTTGACATGACACTTCAAAGAAGCCATGTGACAAGCCTCACTGGGTCAGTCTACTGAGGAAGACCAGAGTGACTGGTTGAACGCTTTAGATGAGAACAACTGTTTTGTGTTGCAAGAAAAGTTTTAACTGTAAAGACAAGCGTACCTTGTCGACAGGCAGGTTGATGGGCTGTTTGCAGTCCAGGAAGTTGATGGTGATGCAGGGTCCGGCCACATCTGTGTCCTGGGGGGTCAGCTGTAGGGGGGTGGGAACGGGGGGGGGGGTCGGTGTCAGTCATTGTACACAAAACCTGCTTTCTACAGTCAAATACTAAACAGTAACGCTAAAAGTAAAGTTAAGACATAGAAGAAAGACATAGTCATGCCTTCGAGTACCAGAGTTATCAACCAAGGATTGAGGTGTTAAAAAACTCATGTTTTCCTAGAACTATCGCAGAGTGGAACTCGCTATCGCCAAGTACAGTAGGGGCATTGTCAATAGATAGCTTTAAACAATGTCTAGAGCTAGAAGTTCAAGGGTTAGGTGTAACAAGTCGTTCGGTGTGATATAGCCAGCTGCCGCCGCGTGCCTGCGAAGCTGGTGTGTTATGCTGACAGGCAGTTACACAGATACAGAAGTAAAAAGGACAGTAAAATTTTCATCTACAGCAGAGTCCAGCCCTGGAGAGTTTCCCACCTTCTGTGGGTCCATGAGCATTTTCCTGTTGTTTCCCCCAAACTTCCCGAGAACTCGGAACGCCACCTGGGCGATGTTCTCCGCAGGATTCCGTAGGGTTCGCCACAGCGCCTGGGAATACAGGATAGGATAAGTACACAGATAAAGGCAAACTTGGTCTCATTAACAATGGGAATATACAACAGGATGGGGATATGTGAACAGGCATTAAAAAAATTCTACTGCTTAAAGATATGTTTCAATTTCAATTTTATTCAAATAAATCAGCATAGCAAGAGTATGTAGTGCTCCTGAATTGTGTCGACTTTACATTTTATGGATACACGGAAAAAACAAGACTGATGATGTTCTGATCCGAACTGTATTACCAATAATTCATTTACAGTGGTTTTGTTTCACAGTAGGAGAAAAAAGGAGTACCTACAGTGTAGGAACTTTGACTGCAGGATGTGTTGTGTGTGTGTGTGTTTGTTTGTTTACACATTTTTGTTTGTTTGTTGACATGTTTATTTACCTGCATGAGTTCTGCCCTAACTGGTTGAATGTGGTCCCACAGAAACTCAGGTTGCAGGTTGTCCACACACAGCTCCAGTGTTCGCAGACCCTGGAGTGAGGAGAATCAGGGTTAGAGACGTAGAGAATACAACAGAAGGTCGGAGAAAAGAGAGGGATCAGGCCCACAGGGGGCTGGAACCAGACACACACAAACACATCTTCTTCACACTCAAAATGCAATTTAAATGACGTTGATTTTACCTCAAAAGCTTTACAATTAGGTCATAGATGTTCTAAAACACTCACACACATACATTTTGTACGCACACACATAAACACATGCACACACATGCACACAATAATAACAATAAGGAAGTAGATGTAAGAAAAGGAATTTCAAAGATGTTTGTTTGATCAGAGGAAACAGCCTGGAACAGGGTAACAGTTGGGAACCTGAAACATAACATCACTGTGAGCTCAATTAAGTTTTATACATGTAATGATGGAAAATAACAATCATTTCTTCAATGCAACTTGTGATAGAGTAGCACAGAAATAAAATACTAGCAATCAAAAACATCAAAAATAATTGTTACAGAGTTGTAAAAAAATCAAGCTAAGAAAAACAGTGCATTTTTCTCATATGTGATTTTAAACAAAGTGATATGAACAGTAACGGGCAGTTGATTACAAGATTCATTTAGAAAGTGAACTAGAAATCAAAAACAAATCGCTCAAAATCGTACTAAGAAAAACAGTGTACGTCTTTCAAAAGTCAAAATCAAAAAAGAAAAACTGCATTTTCCTCTAAGTCACAAATTATACATGATTTTCAAAAAGTGAAAAAAGGTTCAATCAAAAAGTGATAATATGAAGAGTAACGGGAGGTAGGATTGGCGGGAGAGGCCGGTCGGCATGGCAACGGTTGGCGTGGCAACAGCCTCCCGAGCACTGGCGTTCGCGGGGGGGCGTGAGCGGCACCCTACCTGGCTCACCAAGGTTTGCGATCCGTTGAGGGCAGACACAAGAGGGTCCATCAGCATCGGAAGGTACGGTAGGAGGGAACTCAGGCGAACTGGGACGGTCAGGCAAAGCTCGACGAAGAGATCTTTCATGTGTTGCTTGTGGAGACCGCTTTGCAGGTTATTCAGACCTGAAAGATCACGAATATGCAAATCAGGATTTAGAAGATCACGAATATGCAAATTAAGATTCAAAAGATCATGAATATGCAAATCATGATTCAGAAGATCACGAATATGCAAATCACGATTCAGAAGATCACAAATATGCAAATTAGTCCTGAATATGTAAATTAGCCTCAAACATTTACTTCATATGCTGCTTATCGAGACAGAGTTGGAGGGGCTGGTCAACATTATGTAGCAAGTGGCAGGACAGAATAGGAGGGTTGGTCACCATTGTGGTGTTTGTTTGTTTGTTTGTTTGTGTATTTTCTCACCTTGCAACAGATGAGGCAGCAGAGGCAGAAACTCCTGATACAGCAAATCGTGGCTGCCTCCTCCGATGGACCGGAAAAGCGCCCGCATCAGCAGAAAGTAGTTGTACGGCTCCTTGGCCGTCTGAGCGAGCTCCATGGAACTGTTCACAATCTTGTGTAGGTGGGGCTGAAGGAAAACATGATGAAGAAAACTTATGTGAAAATTCTGATGAAGATTTGACATCCAGGTGATGAGATACACAATAAAACTGTTACTCAAGCAACTATAATGACTTCTACCAACACAGTTGAACTTTCAAGATAAGATTTTGAAAACTGAGGAAACATTGCAAGACATTTCGCTACCTTTCGTTAGCCACAGTGAGGAAAAGTAGTGGATGCTACTTGCAGCATTAGACAGTTTCAAACTCTATCCAGTTGCTTGAGTAACTGTTTTCTTGTATAACTTTGTCATCTCTTAAGGAAAAAACTCTGAGGAACTGGCTACAGGAAACCATATCAATGCGCAAACTGTGGACAACTCCAAACTTGTTAATCTACATTAACGGTGAACCTGAGAACCTGTAAAGAATAAACAGGGCTTTCTGCAAGCAAAGGAAAAGGGAAGGAATGAAAGGATCATTGAAGCTGATTGGCGGAAAAACAAGTGATTAATTCATTGATTCATTGATTCATTGATTGACTCATTGATTGATTGATTGGTTGATGGAAAGATCAAGGGAATAGCAAGCTGGGGAATAAGAGAATGGAAGAAGGAAGTTACAAAGGAAAAGTAGGGGAGTTAACGAAAGGGGTAGTACTAACAGAAGCCTGGGGACAGTACATTGTTGTGTAACTGGGGTAACAATGGGAAGGGGACAGTACATTGTTGGTATAACTGGGGTAACAATGGGAAGGGGACAGTACATTGTTGGTGTAACAGGGGATGTTGTAACAGGGGTAACAATGGGAAGGGGACAGTACATTGTTGGTGTAGTAGGTAAAGAGGAGGGATTGTAACGGGGGTAACAATGGGAAGGGGACATTACATTGGTGGTATAACAGGGTTTAACAAGGGGACAGTACATTGTTGGTGTAACAGGTAACAGAAAGCTGGGGTAACAGAAGGCTGGGGGATGGTACATTGTTGGTGTAACAGGGGTAACAGGAGGTTGGGGACAGTACATTGTTGGTGTAGTAGGTAAAGAGGAGGGACCGACACTCCCTCTCCAGGAACATGAAGTTTGCCCCCACAGCGCTGAAGAGAGAGAGCATCAGGCGGAAGTAGCGCTCCGGCTGGGCGGCCGTCTCCGCGAGTTTCGTGCAACCGGACACGATGAGAGAAACTCGGGGCTGGAGAGGGAGGGTTTGGGGAGTGGGGTTGAGTTGGGTGATGCACAACAGAACAGGGCGACAAACAAATCTGAGGTGGTGAGAGTGAAGTCAAACCTATACAAGTGGCTACCTCTGCATATTAATAGGAAAGCCTGGCCAATGTGAACAATTTTTCCCATTGACCCAAGCATTAACAATCCTATCCACATACCCCAGATTTTATTGTTTTCCTAAGTGAACTGTACTGTGCCGTAAGTCATCACATTCTCACATTCTTGGTGTTTTGAGCTTGCATGGTTCAAGTCAGATTTCAACATCTTGAGGGCAGTCATTGATAGGAACAATGGTACAGCAGTAAAACAATGATTCAGTGTTTTTCCTTCTATCATGCTTCATCCGATACCTTTGCAAACATCAGAAAACTACAGTACGAATGTTGATGAAGGTTAGACATCAAGAAAAAAACAGTTCCTCAAGCAACTGGAGAGATTTTAAAAACTGTAGCATCCACTGCTTTTCGTCAATGACTAACGGAACAGCTATTCGTCCAAAAACTATGAATGCTTACGTAAATAAGATGAAGAAATATTGTAGACAGTCCATATAAGAAACCAAAAAGGTGCACAAACCTTGAGCATCTGTTCATTCTCAGCAGCAAACAGCGAAACAGACCCGAAAACCAACTTGAAAAGCTTCAGGTACAGGTTGGACCTCTCAATGTTGGCAGCTGGCAGGAGGGAGAAAATTACAAGTAAATACAAGTACAACACTCACAGCTAGATGAGCAAGGGCTTAAGGTGTAACGGGTCGTTAAGTGTATTATAGCAAGCTGGTGGGGAGGCAAGAAGAGCTACATTTGTACACAAGTCTTGACCAAGCTGTGAATCTTTAGTACAAGTATATTTTTAGTACAAGTATCTTCACAAACTGCAGTACTTCCAACCAACACTAGGTGGCGTCGGTACACAGTGTAAAAACTTACATCCGATCTCCTCCAGCCAGTCCAGAAGGTAGACAAGTGATCTTTTTGTACAAGTATCTTAAACTGCAGTACTTCGTGCTAAAACTAGGTGGCACTACTATACCAGTTGTCAGTGTCTTTGTGAACTGCAGTACTTCAAGCTAACACTAGGTGGCGTTGCTAGACTGTAAAAACTCACATCCGATTTCCTCCAGTCGGTCCAGGAGGTAGTCGACCAGGATGGTGGCAAAGGTCGCGGAGGTCGAGGGATTTGCCAGGAACGTGTTCGCCACGATCTGGAGCGCGTAGTTGTGGTAGATTCTCTCTACCATAAACTGAAATGTAAATGTTTGTTTATTTATTTGTTTATTTGTTTGTTTATGACACAGAAAGGTAACATTTGCATGTTTACCTTCACATGGTCTAGAATAACTAACTACTGCTCTGTTTATTCTGACTCAAACACATTCATGTATGTGGTAACCAGCCCCTACAACTGTCCTGCCACTTGCTACATAATGTAACCCACCACCACAGGGTGTCTGCTACAGTAGTTACCATGGTAACAGCTTACACACTGTATTTGTTTGGAACAGAAGAAGAAGAAACAGAACAAAAACAATATGTTTTTCTTCTGCAAAGGTAAACATATAGTAAAAACTAGAGTTCCCCGATCTCATACCTTCGCCAAATGATGTTAAACTTTATGACTGACAAAGTTTAGATTAGATTATTCCCCCCTGATTTAAGAAATAGGAACCTAATTTTCATTAATTATATCATTTTATCATAATCTCAGCCAAAAGACAGTCTTATAAGAATGCATTCTAGCATTTCCTAATAAATTATGCAAATGAGGTCCTGATTTGAATAAATTATGTTCAATGATGTTCATCTCAATTTAACTTTCAAATACCACAAGTATGAAATTCCAGGCAGTTATCATTACATAATTATAAAATTTTCTCATTAATTATGCAAATTAAGTCATTATTAACATAATCAACATCTTCCTGTGTTTCTCTCGTTGTCAATTACCAATGTCACAAGCTTCAATTGTCCTATCATGGAATGCAGCTGATTTATAGAATTTCCCCATAAATTATGCAAATTACATCCATATTTGCATAATTGTCACATAATTATATTAAGCATCATGTAAGCTACCTACATACCAAAAATCACGACGATCCGTCAACCGGTTCTTGAGTTATCCCCTTTTGAATATTTTCAAGAATTTATTCCTGCAGTTCCAGAGCAAGCCGCTAGGGGGTTTAAACTCACGTCACTTCTTTCCCAGCACAAGAGCTACCTACTATCTAAATTTCATCACCATAGCATGTCTAGATCATGAGATATCAAAACCGGAAGTTCAGCTGCAGTACCATAACAAGCCGCTAGGGGGTCCAAAATCTAATCATTTTGAGGTCTCATCAAGACCTACCCACCTACCAAGTATCAAGACAATCCATAAAGGCCTTCTCAAGTTATCGTGTTTACAGACAGACACACACACACACACACAAACACACACATACACGAACGCCCCTGAAAACATAACCTTCTTGGCGAAGGTAATTATGTGTAAAGACTACAAATATTTTCACATGTCAATTACTGACACCTGTCAATCACTCTCTCTTGGAAGTCTCAATTCCTTTCATATTCAGTAGCACAACAAAACACAGAATTTCTGGATGAAAGTAGTTGAACTCACCTCGATGGTTGTGGAGAAGATTTCCTTGAATGTGAGCAGGTTCATCATCGTGAACTGTGGGGAGAAAAAAAGTAAACAGTAAACAGAAGGCAAGATGCACGTGCTTACATCTATAGGCCTGATACTCAAAAAAAATCAGGAAGATGTGACAAAATAGACACTGATTTTTTACCATTAACTAGAAAAGCTTCAGAATGATCAAGAGTGGTGCCACACTTGCATTTACACCCTCCCACTTGTTCTACAAGAAGTTACACAGAAAGTTTTAACTCTATAAAACAGTTCCAACACATAAAAAAGCAACACATACCACTCCCGCAAAATGCTCCAGTACGTCCTTCTCTTCCTTCATACGCACAGTCTGGGAGCTACAGGGAATGAGGTAAAACGTTGAGAGGGGTAAGATAAGAGGTTAACTCAACTGAATTAGACTAGTTCAAAAAATAGGCACAAAGTATTCTCAATTGGGAAGGACAGGAAAAAGTTAGCACAAAGTCTGATAAGCCTAAAAAATTTTCTCCTCTCTTAACCTCTATCTGCTCAAATAGAGAAAGCTCCTTACTTCTGTGCAGCAAGTTAGTGTCAAAAAAAGACAAGTTTCCACCAATATATAGCTCCTGTATGAAGAGACTACGCCCTTACATATTATTATTATTATGATTATCAAGACCTTACTTCTGTGCTCTTATGTACGGCTGTCCCGAAGGCGTTACGTTGATCTGGTAGATGTCCAGGGCACACAGAGCGTGTCGCACCAGCGCCGAGAAAATCGCTGTCTCCTTCGGCTGGAACTGTTTACTGGGGCCGAATGACGTTTCTATGGAAACAGTTGCCATGGTAAATATCTTCCATAGAAACACAACATGTCATATTACAGAACTGCATGTTAGGACCAAACAACATTTGCAGGGAGAAAAGATAATGCATCTTCTATACTATAATCATATATTATATATATCTATGTGCTAATGTCAACAATAGCCTGGATTGTGTAACTCCTGGCTAATCATTGGTTTACAGCAAAGTTGCAAAGTTCTAGCTACATGCAGTAGTCCTGGTGGTGGAATGAAGATACCGGTGTACTCATCAATGCTCTGAATGAAATAACAAATAACAAAATTATCGAGCACACAAGGCCCAAACAACTCAGAAAAAGGAAGCTACAACTTACCTCCAGGTGTTTTGCAAGACTGAGCTCCCCATGTGATCGTCTTGACCCCACACACCAGGGTCTTGACCAGACTGCGGCAGTCCGAGACTGAGAAGTTGTTGAACTGTCCACCAGCGGGTTTTGACTTTTCTTCCTCCTTCTCCTTGTCACTTTTGCCCAAGGTGGGAGGGGGCGGGATGGCAGCCGCTTTCAGGTCAAGTTCACGCTCGTTTTTACTGGAAAATAGTCAAGTTCACGCTCATTTTACTGGAAAATAGTCAAGTTCACGCTCATTTTACTGGAAAATAGTCAAGTTCACATTTTTACTGGAAAATAGTCAAGTCCACGCATATCATAATAGTCAAGTTCACGCTCATTTTTACTGGAAAATAGTCAAGTTCACGCTCATTTTAATGGAAAATAGTCAAGTTCACATTTTTACTGGAAAATAGTCAAGTTCACGCTCGTTTATACTGGAAAATAGTCAAGTTCACGCTCGTTTTTACTGGAACAGGATAAAGAATTTAACAATCAAAATTGACCCACTGTCATTAAATAGCTTTAAACAATGTTTAGAGTTAGATGTCCAAGTGTGAGGTGTAACATTCGGTGTGATGTAGCCAGCTGCCGCCGTGCCGCGTGCATGCAAAGCTGGTGTGTTACGCCGAAGAGTGGTTATACTGGCTATACAGATACTGATACAGAAATATAACAATGCACTAGCACAAATGTATGTCTGAGCTAATAGATTTCTAAGAAAGCTTTTAACAACATAAATTTCTGCTGTTACCATTTAGCGAAGATGCCGGGCAGCTGGAACTTTGCGATGGTGTGGAACTTCAGAACAAACACTTCCAGCATCCTCATCAGGATCTCTCGGCCCTGCAACGAACAGAAAAACTTCTTAAGATAATCGTCTTTAAGTGTCAACACTTAAAGTATTATCATCAGTATCTCACGACCATGCAAGGAACCACAAAACTTCCTTAGGTGTATCATAAAAATACATTCTTAAAATGTCAATACAGGCAAAACAATTGTTTTAAGGCCACACCAATTCAATTTGTTGATCCAATTTTTTCAGAAAAAAATATACAGCAACAGGTTAAAAAAAAAACAGGGCTGGGCGTCCTATTATAGCCCTAAATACTACAATAGGAGCCATGAAGTCAACATACCAGGCTGGTTTGCAATTCAAACAATAAAATTGATCGATCAATTGTATATGTATGCAACTTAATGGTTTTAATTATGATGATAGTTGTTGTATTGAAATTTTTTTAGTAATGGTAATATTAGTTTTACACTTAGCCGATAATTTGCTCGTTCAATGATTTTAGCTATAATTAGTACCTTGTCTGACGTATGACCTCAATGTGTATGCAAATTTGTAGTCATGTGTATATTTGTACTGTGTGTGTAATGTGTAATGAGCCCTGGAAGATTAGCTCTAACGGGCTAAAGGGTATTGTAATAAACTGAAACTGAAAAAGTCTTACATTTCCTCCGTCCTGGTCACTCTTGATACACTCCACCAGGTTCAGCAGCAGCTGCAAATTGTGCACATTTTTATAAATATGACACCATAAAGACTTATAAATAAGACATCACGAGATAGAAGGATGTAAGATCTTGCTAGCATTTCGAATGTTAAACCTTGAAATAACCTATGAAACCTTACTGCACATCCAGAGCTAGTGTAAAGTTTCCAAGTTTTGGTGGGTGAGACACATTTTTTCCTAGGTTTTACAAGGAACACAAGTTTTAGAGCTTCAAACTTTTGTCAATGCATAATGTTTACCTTCACATAAGGTCTGCTCTGTTAATTCTTACTTAAACACATTCATGTATATGGTGACAGGAATCGAAATCCCTCCTGCTATAAAATTGCAACATGATGTAACCCAACACCAGTTACCATGGTAACAGACGTCTTGTTCAGGTCATTGACCTCATGTGTTGGAGAAGAAGAAGAGGAAACAGCAAAAACAGTATATTTTCCTTTGGTAAACGCATAAAAAGTAGGTCATTGCCCTTATGTGTTAGGAGAAGAGGGGGAAACTGAGCAAAAACAATTACGTTTTCCTTTGGTAAACATAATAAAAGTAGTTCCTCACCTTGCAGGACATGGTCTGTATACTGCTGGGTAGCAGATCGTCATGTACGTTTTTGGAGAAGAGGTGCACGGCCAGCGCCAGGTCTGATAGTTGTAGATGCTGCCTTACATGATGCACCAGGTCTGCTAGGGTACTGTAGGCTAGGGGACTGAACACACGGATATGTAAGGTTAGATCAGTGTAGTGAGTTTTTGGAGAAGAGGTGCACGGCCAGCGCCAGGTCTGATAGTTGTAGGTGCTGCCTTACATGATGCACCAGGTCTGCCAAAGTGCTGTAGGCTAAGGGACTGAACACATGGATACATAAGGTTAGATCAGTGTTGTACATGGTGCACTAGGGTCTGCTAGGGTGCTGTAGGCTAGGGGACTGGAAAAACAAGAAAATTTCAGAACTGCATCTATTTAGTTTGATGCCTGAATGGGTTAGGGTTATTGTTTGTTTGTTTGTTTAACCAGGAAGTACATGTCGCCTTTTGGCGTTTTTCAAAGATTCCTGGGGTTAGGATCAGGCACGGTTCTGGATAATCTCTGCGTAGATTTGTCCCAGGAACGGTTCTGGATACATGTGGACTATCATCCTCAGACATGGTTCTGGATACAAGAACTGAGCATGCACAGTTCAATTTTGTTGACATATGGGGTAACAACATGACAAAGCTATTCGAATGAAAGCTCATCTGTGTTGGCAGAATTCATTAGAAAGTTTAAGCTTGTTCGGAAAATTTATGGTGAGTTCTTTCCTTGTGTTGGAACAAGCTCAAACTTTCTAACTAATTACAAAAGCTACTCTGGACAAAGCACAAATCAAACTTGAGGTTTATTAATATGAAAATGTGTGACCTACCGGAGAGTTTCCCGAGTGGTCCAGCCTGTTCCTATCAATACTTTCTCGTCAAACAGACGGTCGATGTGCGGAACAAATCCTGGACAAAAACACAGAAACACAAGTTTGGTGTCTGGTTGGTTGTGAAACAGGAGCCAGTGGAATTCGAATGGCATTGTAGCAGTCTGTACTCACTGCTTCACTGTTGCAGAGGTCAGTAGCAAATGGCAGTGATGTAGCAGTTTGTACTTACTGCTGCACAGATTAGTTTGTGAAGTTGTATAGTATGAAATTGTAACAGTGGGTCAGTGGTGAATGTAGCAGTAATGTAGCAATTTTTTACTCACTGTTGCAAAGGTTCTGTAGCGAGGATGTGTCAGTAGTGAATGGCAGTAATGTAGCAGTTTGTACCTACTGTTGCATAGATCTATAGCAGACGGTAGTCTGTAGCCTAAAACTGTAGAAAATGGTACTCACTGTTACGCAGGTCTCTAGCAAGAATGTTTCAGTAGTGAATGTAGCGAGGATGTGACAGTTTATACTCACTGTTGCATAGATCTGTAGCGAATGATACTCACTGTTGCGCAGGTCTGTAGCGAGGATGTGTCTTGCGGCGATGAGCAGCTCTTTGCGCAGGTGTGTGACCTCCTGGGGACAGTTGGTCAGCAAGGACAGCATGCCCTTCACCATCTGGTTAGCGTAGGTCGTCACAGACTCCTGGTTACAAACAAACAAACAAATAAATATGTTTATTTACTAGAAAGGTAACATTTGCAAAGCAAATGCATAATGTTTACCACATATGGTTTGCTCTGTTAATTCTTACTCAAACACATTTCATATATATGGTGACAGGAGTCTAAATCCCTCCAGCTATAAAATTGCAACATGGTGTAACCCAACGGAAAGGAAGAAGACCAAAAACCATATGTCTACTCTCCATATGAAACACTTTTCTTGAGTCATTTATTGCTCCTGTATAAGACACACAAACTGCATCTTTAAGGATTAAGACACAAGACAATCCTTAAGACACAAGACAATCCTTAAGACACTAGAGAATCCTTAAGACACTAGAGAATCCTTAAGACACTAGACAATCCTTAAGACACTAGACAATCCTTAAGACACAAGACAATCCTTAAGACGCTAGACAATCCTTAAGACACTACATAATCCTTAAGACACTAGAGAATCCTTAAGACACTAGAGAATTTGTAAGACACTAGACAATCCCTAAAACACTAGAGAATCCTTAAGACCCTAGAGAAGACGCCTTACCTGGTAGATGCGGATGATGTAAGCCAGGAAAGACAAAGTCTTGATCTGAGCAGCGACGAAATCCACGTACAGCTCACGGTTAAACTGGGGGGAAGCTCTGTGGGAAAAAATCAGCGTGCAACAGTCAGTACAAATGGTCTGTCAGCACTGTTATTCTTACCACTACTGGGTTTTTATATTACATGTATTTGTAGTCAGTCTTCGTAATATGTCTTTTTCTATGTAGATACAGATATGGGCCATGCTTCTAAAATGAATAATATAATTAAGAAAGATAGAAAATTTAAAAAATACTAAGTACTCATCCCTAGAAAGTTGGGAACCTGCTGTCCATACTACAAGTTCAACGCCATATTAGAAAATCTACATTTCGATTAACTAAAATTGCTATTCAATAATATCCAGTTATTTATATATAATAAGTGGCAGATTTACATGTGACCTGGTCTGTGTAAGTGTTGAAATAAATGTAAAACAAACAGATAATTATATAATGCCTCACCTGGCCTGTGCAGAAGGTGTGAGGACAATGGTGTTCATGATGAGAGGAATAAACTCTGCCACTGCGCTGTGCACGTTCTGCTTGTATAACTGGGAGCAAAAAACAATGAAGATTAAGTTCCATGGACATGTCCATTTTCCTTAGACCACGAAATTTAGTTACTGTGAAGTAGTATGTAAAAATGAAGACGTACCTGGTACATCAGGACAACAATGATGGGCAACTCTGCCAGAACCTTCAGCGAGTTGATTCCCTTAGACAGGACCGTCAGCTGTACAGAATGACACACAGGGTTAAACAATGGCCACATAAAAAAACTATGAAGATCCGAGCCAGTTTCTAAAGGCAAAAGGAAGTTTCAAAAGACACGCAATGGTGAAAAAAAATCTGACACTTAAAAATTAAAAATTAAAAAAATTAAAAATTGAAAAGACTTTTAAAAAACAATTTTTTCAAAAGATCAGAGAAAAAAATTTCAAAATACAAAAAAAAAATTTTACATCCGAGAACCTACAAATAAAATTGGTGTGGCCTTGACATGAAAAACATGACTCACAGTTTCTTTGCTGCCGTCGGCCTTCTCTGTCTGCACGGTGACGGTTCCGGACAGTGGGAGGACCACCGGCTGTCCGGTCGCTGCGTCAAGCGTCACGTTGATCGGCTTCTCAAACATCGCGTTCTGTAAACAAACAAACAAACAATTCCATAAACAAATTTGTCAACACTGGAGCATCACGATTAGTTCTCAAAGTCAAACATGGCATTCCGCACGTGAGATTTTAGTACACAACTAAACCAACTATTCAATAAACAAATTAGTCACCACTTACACACCATTAGTCATCACAATCAGTTTCCAAAGAAGGAGCCATTTTGTAAACAAGTAAACAACAATTCAATAAAACAAATAAACAGTTAAGCAAACAATGTAAACAAACAATGAAAAGTTTACCATATTTGCAGGCAGGTCCTTGTAGATCTGTTTCACCATGTGAAGGAAATGCTGGATCTGAAAACAGGAAAAGCAAAATATAATATATATAAATGTAAAAACATATTGCTTAACACTTGTAGAAAAGCTGCTATCTAACAATGAGTAAAGAGACTCTTTCTACACAACCAAGTCTTTTATTCGGCCGGCGTTTCGGTGACCGTCTGTCACCTTCCTCAGGGCAATTCTGACTGGCTCAAATTGCACTGCAGCACAGGTGTCGCTGCTATAGATGAATAAAAGACTTGGTTGTGTAAAAGCAGTCTCTCATCCTCTGAAAGAAACCCCGGTGACAGACCCCTCCCCAGCCCAGCTGACTGAAACCCCGGTGTGATACCCATCCCCACACCAGCTGAAACCCCGGTGTGATACCCATCCCCACACCAGCTGAAACCCGGTGTGATACCCCTCCCCTTCCCAAATTGACAAACTCCGGTGTGATACCCCTTCCGGCCCAGCTGACTGAAACCCCGGTGAGGACCCACCTCGGGCTGGATCTGTGGGCGGAACTGCTTGTGAAGTTCGATGATGATCCGCAGACAGACCAGAACATTCTCCTCATTTTCTCTCTGAAAAGAACAAAAAAAACATGGATTCAAACTTTCCTTTCATTATGTTTAACTTCGTCTGTCACCATGGTAACTAGTGCTGTAGCAACACCCTATGGTGGTGGGTTACATTATGTAGCACGCCAAAGTTGGAGAACGTGCTCACCTTACATATGAATGTATTTGACTTTGAGTAAAAATAAACAGTGCAGTAGTTTGTTGGGTTAGACCAGGTGAAGGTTAACATTATGCATTTGCTTTGTAAATGTTACCCTAAAGTTTCTAGTCGCAGTAAAGATTTGAAAGATGTGGAAGTCAATCAATCAATCAATCAATCAATGTTTATTCAAACAACTAGCAGACGAGAGTCTAAATTGAGTTGTTTTTACAGTTCATAAAATTATACGTTAAACAATACTAATGGTTTAAAAATTACATAATTTACATGATAATAACAGAAATTTGGTAGAGAGCTGTAATAATGCCTATTAACACTACAATTAGAGGTAAAGGTCAATGCTAGCCGAACTCAGTCACTGTATGCCCTCTTCAGTAAAAGCAGGGAAGAACTGCATTTAACTAGCGTTTAACAGCTCAACAATGTAAGGAATGGGTGATTTCCCACCTCTATAAGCTGGAACATGAGAGAGAGCACTTTGCTGACGTAGATACGGAAATGGTCGTTTGTCGGGATCCGGTGGATAATCTCCAACAGGAGTTTCCGCAGTTGCTGAAAAAACATCAACATTATTGTTATTATTGTTATTGGGTGGGCCGGCTACTCTCTTCTTGCAGCCAAGGGCTGAATTGTGAGGAGCGTACAATCATTGGGGCTTAATCGCAAGGGTCTGGAGTGGATGCCATTTGACGCTAACTCAGGCAAAATTCTCCTAGTTCTAGTCCCTAACACCGAAGATAAATATGAAACTTAAGTCAAACACAAAAGTCTTAATGTTGTATTAAAGAAAGCTGAATTTTTTTGCTGTCATTTTCCCCAAAATGTTGTGTTCAAGAGATTTCCTTACCTGAATAGGGTTTTCCTGCACGAAAATAGTGTCACCTGCCAAAAGAACACATCAAAATTGATCAAATACATAATAGGAGGAAGTAGGATGGTTATGCTTAAAATCCTTTAAGACATCCTAAAAAATCCTAGAAAAAGCTTAGAAGTCTGAAAAAAGTCAAGGCATGTCCCTCCACTTCATACGTCACTTTCTCTTCTTGAGACTACACAAAAAGTACTTTCACTAATCTGAAGACATGTGCTGTAAGAAAGTTTTACCTTCCTGTAACACCTTGAGGATAAAAAAAGTACTTTCACTTATGAAAACATGTACAGTAAGACAGTCTTAAAAGTACTTTCACTTATGAAGACATTGCAGTAAGAAAGTCTTACCTTCCTGTAGCACCTTGAGGAATCTCGGAATGGCGTGCTCCAAGAAAGACTGGTACTGACCAGAGGTCACGATGGACTGAGAAATGATCCAAATAAACAAATAAACAAACAAATAATGTAAACAAAACTGGGGTCAAGCTTACATACAAGCATAAATCATAACCATCGAGGTTAACAGTCTATCTAAACTCTTTCTGTAAGGCCACACCAATTAAATTTGTTGGTTCTCAGAATTTTTCATTAAAAAAATGAAGCCACAGGGCGAAAAAATAAAAACAATCCTATTATAGCCCCAAATACTTTGATAGGAGCCATGAACGATGAAGTCAACCCAAAAGGCTGGGTTAATATTTTAACAATGAATTTTGAACTTTTAATCAAACCACTGCATTGATAGGTGGAAAAACTGTAGGAACTAGGAAGAAAAGGACTGTCCTAAACTGGAATGAAATGAAAACTGTTAGGGGCAAAATATGAACATTTTTTAGTTGATTCAGTATCAACTAAAAAATTTTTGAGTGTATTCAGTATTCAGATTTCAGAAAAAAATGAAGAGGCGAATCTGAGGACAAATTAAATTGGTGTGGCCTTATTATCTTTATTATACAACTGGCACTTTGAATTTGTTAATATTTACATGAACATGGGTAGGCTCTTTAAATAATAATAACAATCAAAATTACACATATAGCGTTGATAAAAAAATGATCCAGGATTTTTGTACTTTGTATTTTGTGTACATACAGTTTTGTGAAAACATTTAAAGAAATATACAGGTACATAATTTTTACCTTATAAAATGCAGAATAATCTAAAGCCAGATAGTGAGTGAATTATATTTGTACTCAAAAATATACATGTAAACTGTACCTCAAAATTTTCACTGATTTCTTGTGCAACCTTCAATCTGTGTTCATCCTCTGTAAGATACAAAAAACAATTCAGTTTAACAAACTAAAACTTGCGTGAGGACACTTATATCTTCAATATCAATTGAATGTTTAAACTTAAACTCAAACTCAAATAGAAAACCAATTGTACAACGTTTCGTCACTCAGGTGTAAGAAATTTTCAAAAGGTCGATCAGCTCCAAAAATTTCTGTCCTTTGCAGGGGTCCGCACAAAACAAAAGGCTAAGGTTGGCAGTTTTTTTTTCTAGGGAAACAGAAAACACAACATTTTTCAGTAGTCAGTACAGTCAGCTCTTATCAGTTAAAATATCACCGTTCCTTACAAACTTGTGTAGGAACTCTGGCGTATCTTCAGATTACATCATTCTGTACTGACAAACGGGATCATTTCAGAAGTTCAAACACACTTCCAAACAACAAAACATTCTTCTATTAAATAAATTGCCTTCAAACTCAGCACAGTATCAACAATAAACAATTTTCGAATAAAAATTGAAATCTCATTATTACTAGATATTTGTTGTGTGAAAACATATTGAAGTTCTGAGCTGATCCCTGCTGCTGTGGTCAGAGTGAGGTTGTTAGCATGAAACCCGAGCCCGACGTTGCCATGGCAACAGGTTTTCTGATGAGGTTTAAGGGTCATCATCCCACAGCACAACCTTGCAAAATTTAAATGTTTTCACTCACTCACTCACTCCTTCAATCATTCACTCACTCACTCATTCACTCTCCTTCAATCACTCACTCATTCACCCACTCACTTATTCACTCACTCATTCCTTCACTCATTCATTCCTTCGTTCTCTCGTTCCCTCTGTACTTACGTTGGTTAGTGTCCGCCAGAATGGCAGCGTAACTCCGGTATTTGTTCATCTGAGCCAACAGATCCTGGGGACTGATAACTCATTCCCTCACTCATTCTTTCATTCTCATTTGTTCACTCATTCATCCCTTCATTCTCTCGTTCCCTCTGTACTTACGCTGGTTAGTGTCGGCCAGAATGGCAGCGTAACTCCGGTATTTGTTCATCTGGGCCAGTAAATCTTGTGGACTCATTCACTCATTCATTCTTTCCTTCATTCTCTCGTTCCCTCGGTACTTACGTTGGTTAGTGTCGGCCAGGATCGCAGCGTAACTCCGGTATTTGTTCATCTGGGCCAACAGATCCTGCGGACTGATCACCGTCGCGTGGGGCGTGGCCGTTGCCATGGCAGCAACCTGTCACTTCCGAAGCTCAGCTGGAAACTAAAAAAACAAACAAAAGGTCATCAGAAACTTACTCGTAGCATGAAGGTTCATCTGTGTTGGTACAAGTCACTAGGCCTAGGAAAAAATGTTGTGTTTGCTGTTTCAGTCCTGAAAAAATTGGAGTCGGTAGGTAGGGATTTTTTTTTTCTTCATTTTTTTTTATTTTGCCTTGTGATCCAAGTTCATACAAGTCATACAATACAGTTTAACAAAGTGAAATTTGCATGAGGACACTTATATTTTCAATATCAATGTTGGTAAACTTACTGGTTGTGCAATGTTTCATCTCTCAGGTGTCAGATCATGGAGCTAGAAAAGGTTGATCAGTTTAATGCAGGGTGCACACAAAAAAAGGCTAGGGTCAACAGTTTTTTCTAGGGTCGGTCTGGAAACATTTTTTTCATAGGCCCAAAAAGTCATAAGAAACTTATCGTGAAAGTTCATCTGTGTTTAGGCACAAGTCATTATAAGTGTCCTAATGCAAGTTTAAGTTAACTGTAATTTGTATAAGTTGGGACTTGACTTTACATAACTGGGGTAAGTTGAAGAAGTGAAACAGTAGCTCCACTGTCATGTATTTTCTACTCGGAACTTGAGGCAAGCAAAATGAGAAAAAACCTTCTCATCTCCTTTTTTGTTACCACTCAAGCTGACCATGTTAATTAATCAACACGACTTAACCGTTATCAAAACATAGGTGCTAGGTTTCGGCTTCGGATGGGGGGGGGGCATAATTTACAATGTAAACACTACCTGGAAGCTAGGTTATGGGGGAGGGCGAAATCTTCCCAAAATGTATGTATGTGTATCTATATAAACAGGCGACTATATATGTATATCTATATAAATATGTCTATAGGTTATACCCGACTGTAGTGCCTGAACAACATAATTGAATATTTAATTATAAATCGAAACAGTCCCACAAAAATAAACATGGCGGGAAAAAAAGTAGCAGGTCTTGAAAGCGTCGTCAGATAATTTTTTGCCTTGATTTGAGGGGGAAATATTACAAATAGGCCCACCTTAGACACAAAAATCTCACCAAAAACGTAAACAGTACGTTGTTCTTCCTTCTGCTTCCTTCTAAACAGTCCTAGTGGCCTCTGATCGCCCGATATTTTGTGCTAAAATTTTGCTCGATAGTTGCAAACCACGCGGCGCGAAGCTGCCACAGAACGCAGACGACACAAAGACATAATATTTTACCTCAGTTTCGCGTGGATTTACGGTTAAAACGGCAAAAGTTAGGTCAGAAACACTCCGAAATATACCCCTGTGTATACTTTTAACAAGAGTAGAGGTGGTACGTGGATGTAGTTGGAGTAAAACTCACCTAAATTGACTAAACTTGCGTTCCTTTTCTTCTCAAAATCCAAGCGCCGCCATTTTGGGACGATGAATGAGTGACCGCATCAAAACGAAACTTATATACTTGAGTTGAATTTAACCTTCTAAGAGTTTATTAACCCTTATCGGGGTTATGAATATTTTATCGTATAATATGAAATACTTCAAGTTTGATATTTTCTATCATATTGATTCAAACCAGACTTTTAATATTGTATCGAGACGTACAACATTTTGTTGCGGTATTCACGGATTAACTGGCAGAAGACCCTCGCTTTTGACGGTCTGGTCAAAACACCCGGATGTCGGTGCGTGACGTCAGGAAAACGGGTTTACACATAATACTAGTACTTGTCGTCTGTCGTTTCAAACGTCGGGAAAAATATACGAAAGTCAAGATCACGGGTTCATATCTCAGCAAAAGTTGACAAAAGTAGCCTAGGCACAGTAATCTCCAAGCAGATCCCTATCGGTGGGAAAAGACAGTATCCATTAGCCATAGGAGTTTAGCTATGGCTAATGGAATTACTGTCTTTTTCCACCGATAGGGATCTGCTTGGAGATTATAGGCACAGGTCCAAAGCACGATCTGGCCAAGGACATTATACATATATTAAAGAAGATAACGTTAACGGGTCAAACTACATCCATATTTGCATAATTGTCACATAATCATGTCAAGCATCTTTTAAGCTACCTACATACCAAAATCACGACGATCCGTTAACTGGTTCTTGCTAGTTATCCTTTTTTAAAACAAACGCCCTTGCAGTTCCAGACCAGGCCGCTAGGGGGGGGGCAAACCTACGTCACTTTTTCCCCAGCACAAGAGCTACCTGCCATTTAAATTTCGTGCCCCTAGATCATGTCTAGATCATGAGATATCAAAACCAGAAGTTCAGCTGCAGTACCATAACAAGCATCGTTGTTTTCATACACATATTCTTGCGCTGATGCCTACCTGGGTTCATAATGACATTTGGGGAGTGAAAGATCAACATTGTTACGCCGCAAAAACGTGTTGGAAAACTACCAAGATACCCACACAAAAACCACTGTTTGTACCATAGGTTAAAGGTATCCAGTGCAGTTTTAGGGCGTTGAAACCCGATTTTTCATTAGCCATAGGAGTTTAGCTAGCCACCGACCCTTGTGTTGTTGTGATGCTCTCAGTGTTCTTCTTCTTTCCATGGCGCGCACAAACGCCAGCTGAGATGTGCGCTATAAGGCCGTGTCTATACGGAATCACCCAAACCGCGATTCGGGTAACTCACATTCCTCACATCTGGTCCACGGGCCACACACACCTGTGAAACCGTGTCCGAACACAATACGCTTGAGCTACATTTATTGCTGTTTGATGATAACACGCAAGGTGGCGTGTTATTAATGTCAGAGGTCAACGACCTGCTTGCTGATGCCCCCCTCCCAGCGTATCTCGGCCGAATGCCGACGTGGTCCCGCCAGAGGCGGTGAAGCTCGCCCTAGAACGGACACATTATTTGACCATTACTGCTCTTTAAGTTGCTGCCACGTAAAAGTTGGTATTGCATATAAAAAAAGAAATATCACCCCGTAATCCATGACCAGGCGAAGTTACATTGAAATCACATTGCGTTCAGACGCAAATCGCGATGCGGGGAAACCGATTCGAAACCACCTCTAGAAGTGGCTTGGGATCGAGGCGCTTTCAATGTGATTTCGGGGCGTTCACATGGAGCCACTTGAAACCGGCTTCGGGGTAAACCACATGTAAACCGCTTTGGGTGATTCCGTATAGACACGGCCCAAATCGCTTGTAAAGGGCCCTTTAGCGGCCGGGAAAATTCGTACTGCTGTTAATTGTCAACAGGGAGGGGCAACAGCACCATTTTGAAAAGGAATGCTCCTCCCTGTTTCAGTGTCAGCAGATCCCGTCAGTGGCCAGCTAAACTCCTATGACTAATGGATACTAGCCTCCTGTGCAGGCCCCGCAAGATCTAGCCGCCGAGAGAAGGTTGCTTTCCGCCCACGTGGGCCGAAAGCAACGTTCTCTCGGCGGCTATGTAGGATGGCCGGCTGTATTAAAATAACGCGTTAAAAACTCTTTTCCACCGCCGCGGGGCCTGCACAGGAGGCTATTATGAATCATCTGAAACCTGTATACACAATGGAACGTTATCTTCACATCAAAGACTTCGATGTTAGATCAGCCATATGTAAGCTTAGAGTTAGCGCTCATACATTAGAAATAGAAAAGGGTAGATACAAACAATTGTCTGTTAACGACAGAATATGTAAATATTGTACAGGAAACGCAGTGGAGGATGAAATGCACTTTATTTGTCATTGCTCTCATTATAGCACCGAAAGAGATCAGTTATTTGAAATGGTCACCAAAATGTTCCCCAGCTTTATTCACCTTCCCAGCCTACAAAAAACTGCATTTCTATTAACACCTCCCAATTCATATATCTCGCAAAACGTCGGCCATTTCATACTCCACTGCACACGGAAAAGAAATCAAACCCAACAATAACTACAAATGTATATATAAAGTAGCATTAGCATCACTTATTATCATTCTACTGTTTACTGTTGTTATCATGTTCTTGCAATTAGCCCTCGGGCATGAATTTGCAATAAACTTTCATTATAATGGATACTGTCTTTTGCCACCGATAATGATCTGCTTGGAGATTAGCAATCAACCACAACAGACCCTCCCGGCCAAGAAGGCTCCCGCATAGATAAGAAACAAAAGATCTCAGAGTCTCATGATCGATCATCTATCAATGAATGAATGACGACCTTTATTGCACATTTTTGCCACACTGGGCTAAGTACAGGTCAAAACAAAACATAATGGAGAAATATATACAAAATAAAACTAACTATCATTACATAAATTGGACTTCTCGCTTTTCAGTTATGGTAGAGATAAATGAACAGATATGTTTATCGATGGAAGGTTTGTCAAGTCGCATCAGGAATATGAATTTTTCTACAGTGCTCAAGTGTATGAAATAAGGAAATAGGTTTTGTACAAGCCTATACAGATCACTTCTCTCTTTACTATATAATCTACATTCTATAACAAAGTGACATTCGTCCTCTATTCTATTCAGATTACAACATTTACATAACCTTTGTTCCAGAGGGGTGCAATCCTCACCGTGATTATGCCTTCACTCAGGCCTGAGGTGGATATATTTATATTATAAGACATGTATCTCCAAACTTTTACAGAGAAATTCGTAACAACAACAAACTACGATCATACAAATTACTTAAAACCACTTACAACGAGGAAAACTATTTAAAGATAACAAAAATACGACACAGAATAGCCACTACAAGACGTAGGATTAGCTCACACAAACTTCTTGTTGAAAAGGGTAGGCACAACCACGTTCCTCTGCAACAAAGAATTTGTCTTTTAACTCCATATTAAAACTAAAAACTTGTTACCTATTGACTCTCCGTCTGAACTTGACTTTCAGGTGCGAAAATGAAGAATAAGAGGATAAAAGGTACACATATGGACAGGGAAACACATCGTAATTACATGTACGAAGAAATGTAGTCATTATATGGGAATGCGCCTTAGGATGGGCTTTTTCCAAACAGTAGTTTGAGAACTGCTAAATCCGATCGATCAGCCTGTGACACACAGAGAAACACAAAGCATTTAATTACAGACGACGGTAAGACTTCTTCAGTACAATCTCCATCTGTGTACTTTTATTCCTTTATTTCTTACACATTATCGCACATGAAATTGTCTAGGCTGGATCTGGAGTTAGTATGTGTTAACTATCTCCCCAGGTCCAATAGAATATAATTATAATTTAGAAATTCTCAAATAGGAAGGATTTTCCAACTTAGGACTGGGGACTTCTCATACCCCGCAGGCAACCGAAAAGAAAACACATTTTTCATTCACAAGTTCAGATCATTCAGCACTGAATACCTCCATGAAAAGTGGAGGTAATTCCAAGGCGCATTTCCATATAATGACATAATTTCAAAATTTTCTGTTCAGAAGTTTCTAGTGTTTCTTTACCGCACAATGTTTATGGACGGAGGAAATGACAATAACTTTATGGTCAAAAAAAGCAGAGTTTGGAGTTAAAAGCAAAAGGACCCAAATAGTGCCTGGGTGACTCTGAAAGCGGCACTTTCTGCCGTGAGAAGGGCCAATCATGGAGGAATGTACCTTCTGGCCTCTCACACCAATGTAGTCAGAGACAAAGGGGTGGTAGCACATAAAGTAAGGCGCTGGGGCAATTATAGATAAACAATGGACGCTGTCATCATTCAGAAAATATCTGGAGGGCCACTAAATTAAAAGACGCCGACAGTCAGGAGGGTGTGCACTGTATTCTCTGTTCAACTGACATTTCTAGTGTTTCTTTACCGCAGAATGTGTATGGACGGAAGAGATACCTTTGACTTTATTGTCAAAAGATAATTTTGAAGTCGAGAAAAAAGAACCATCATTCTACAAGTCCTACTTTACACAAGGACAGAGTCACTGAAGGAGAGAAAGAGACGAATTAATTCATCCAAGGATGAGTTTTATTGTTTCAACATTGCGAGTTCGACACCCAGCGTGACTACAGCATTCACAGTAAATAAACAACGTTTGTAACATGGAAATTGGAGCCGGCAATATACTAGTACATGTATAACAACACACGATATGACGGTACGTTTACATGTAGCTATGTTATGTACGTGATATGGCGGTGGTATTGTGTGAACAATGTTGTGAACACAGACAATAAAGCTGGTACGGTGCGTTACGGAACCTGGGGATATAGGACTCCCCTCATGCACATACAGGTATGACCGAAACTATGCAGAAAGAAGTCCTCACAACTGTTACATGTTATATGTTGACCCTACATCAGACGGAGCTGGGTTTTGTTTATGACGTGTCTGCTAGCGGCGGCGACCGGGGTGCTCAGCAATGGTGTGCGCGGCTGGGCGTGCTCTCCAAGCAGAGGTAGGGTTTTGGGGTATTTTTATCGTGTTTTTAGGCTTTTTTTGTCAGGGTTTTTCTTTTGCACTGAATTTTTTCCCACCAAGTTAGGGTTGGGTAAAAAAAATCGGTGCAAAAGAGAAACCCTGACAAAAAAAGCCTAAAACACGCTAAAAATACCCCCAAACCCCACCTCTGCTTGGAGAGTAGGCTGGGCGTGCTGACTGCATGGCGCTAGCAGTAGCTGCACGTCTTCCTGCATTCGGTTTCCATGAAATGGCTTCTCCGGCCGCACTTGTGTTTGTTTCTGTTACACCTATAGGCTGAAGCTGTATCAACACATCCTGTGAGAGGTGGAAAAACAAAGACTAAGTCAATGGCTTCCAACACATCGTCTCGTCACGCTATCAAAGGCATCATTGCGGAGTGGAGCTAGCCTGTACCAGGCACCGCGGATCGCTGGAAAAATAGTAGAAATTGTCCGAAATAAAGGAATAATACCAGGGGAGTTAGCCGGCCAGAGAAGCTCCATTTTGCGACTCACGGAAAAAATGGATCTTCTCTGGCCGGCTAACTCCCCTGGTATTATACCTTTATTTCGGACAATTTCTACTATTTTTCCAGCGATCCGCGGTGCCTGGTACAGGCTAGAGTGGAGTAGATCTCACAGTGAAGGTGGAAGATCGTTTCGACTCACCTTGGCGCTTCTGCAGCACGTCCCGAAGCTCCAGGATCTCCGCTTCGATGTCCTCCAGCAGATCCGTGGGAGCGGCTTGGGCGGACATGACCACCAGGGCGGCTATCGCCAAGGCAACCAGCACTGCGGAATTCATGGTTCTCTCCGTCTAATAAAAAAATCACGAATCAACGTTAACCTTGTGTTGTATAGCGAGCATTAACGACGTTTTTTCTTCACAAATACAGTTTAAATGCATCAGAACCAGGGCTGCTACAGCCAAGCCAACCAGCACTGTAGAATTCATGCTTCTCTCCGTCTGATAAAAAACATGAACCAACGTTAATCTTATGTTGTCCAGCGGGAACCACGTTTGGGAGAGAGAAACACAAACATTTCACCCTGTAGCTGTCAACTGTGGGAACAGTCTGTCTGTCCACAAAACTTGTCCGTCTCTATAAACGGTCGCGTTTCTGAAGGTTTGAAATTCAACTGTAGGATCGAAAACTTCATGCCCCTTGCCAGCGGAACCCCCTCCGAAAAAAAGTGGCTAGTGTTTGGCGGAATTTTGCCGGGGTCAGCCACAAACAACTTTTTTTCTTGGACAAAGTTATCTTTACAGTTTTACTGCGGTTCAGCATTGCCGAATAGTTCCGGTGGGAAACAATCCACTCGGAATTTAAAATGGCAAAAGTCTTGAGGTTAAATGACTCTTTGTGGTGGCATGCAGAGACAAAATTAGCTCCTTGAGACAAGTGCAACAAAAATTTACAAGTCACAAAGTCTAGCTCACACTAGCGTAGAATTTAGTTAAACTTTCGGAGCAGATGTTTCTAAATGTTAACACATGTACAGGCACTACACCGACAGGCATAGGCTATTAGCTGCATGGTAGTGTAACTGAATTAACTCGGACATACCTTAGGTAAGTTCCTGGCGTACTGCGGCAGATCTCGTCTGAAGATGTCAGAATGGCTCGATAAAAAACTGGAGACGCGAAGCAAAATATATACTGTTTCGCACTGCAATTAAGCAGATGAGCTATAATGGGTACTTCTTATTGGTTGGTTGCTACACTTGTAGTCGCGTGATAGTCTGTGATTACATGTTGCATTGTGTTTTTACTCCGTGAAGGAGGTCAGGACCTCCGGACGGAGTGTTGTAATCGGCTGATTTTTCATGTTCGCAGTCAAAACACTGGGTTCTCTTTGTGTAATCGGCACGCAATTTTATACGCCGTCTGCGGGCATGCCCGTGTTGATGCACGAATGTGTATTTTTGCCGTTGCTGCTTTCGCGGTCAATGTAATATCGCAGACGCACCCCTACAATTACGAGGCGAATTGGAATGGTCCAGAAAAACGCGTTGTTTGGAATAGCAGTGGGGTTCAAAAATGTTCATGCAGATACGGGGTGGTTTTTATAAGTGGTTCCAGATGTTTTTGCCCATGGTTAAGAGATGCCAAGTTTTTTGGAAGATGTTCGCAGCCAAAACGCATTCTTCCGTACGTCGCATTTCTGTGTAATTTCGCATGTGGTGTTGCATTATGTCCGGGATGATGCACGTCTTTTTATTTTTACCGTAGCTGTTTTGATATTGGAGTAAATGCTTATTTTCGAAACATCCCCATTTCTTTGAAATGGTTTCGTCCGTTTATGCAACTGTTACTGCGCTAATGACGACCAGTCGCGCTGTCCTGATACACCGCGAATGTGCGAGTGTTCCCTGTAGACAGTCCCGGGAGTCATTTTTTTGCACATTCCAGGAGCCAAACCAAAATACGTTCATGAATCGAGTCCAAAAAACCGAAACGTGAAAATCGGATGATCGGACCTGATGTACATTTCTCTTTCTATAGATTGTACACACAATACACACATCTTTAGATAATCTGGCCATGGCAGGTTAAAAAAAAAGTAACCCTGAATCATACTAGATTAGCGTAAATGCATGTTAATGCGTTCAAAACAAGAAAAAAATTGTTTCCGGGTATTAATCTCTTGAATCACGGCGCTGAATATTGACGCAAAAATATTTCGGGCATCGCGCGCCCTTCCCGCGTCACGTGTAGGCATCTCGCATCTCTGATTGGTTGTTGCGTCTTAAGATGACTGAGCCGACGCGCGTTTAAACAATTTTTCTTTGTTCGATTTATCACACTTCACAGAGAATTGTCGCCAATGGCTACTTCTTTTTGTTGCAATATATAATACTTCACGGAGAATTGTCACCTATGGCTTCTTGTTCTAGTTGTGGCTGATAAATGTGATTGATCAGTTCTCAAACAAACGTTTGAAAAAAGCCTAGCCAAAGGCGCATTCCCATCTAATGGCCAATCGAACCACCCATCAGAAAACAGATGTGTTCTTTTATATCTACAATAACTGAAAAACGAGAAGTTGAATTTATATAACGATAGTTAGTTGGTTTTATTTGTATCTTTTATATTATTTGTGTCCTAATTGTAACTGTTATGAAAAAATCAAAGTTTGAAGAATGTTAATGGACGCTATAATGTCCATGTTGGGGTCATTTTTGGTGCGCAACTGAACCGTGACGTTGGTTTTTATTGTCCAAACAGTACCTTGCAGTCGCAGCCTTTATATGGTTGAATTGATGCAGGGTTTCACATAATTATCACATAATCAATACAAATCACAACAATCAAATGATACATATAATACACAACAATCAAATAATACACATATTTGTTCCACAATCTTTTGTGGAACTGTCGCAAGGGTCTGCGCGGCTGCCATTCGGCGCCACAAGGTGACTCAATACGACTTAAGTTAGGTACCCATTCACACCTGGGTGGAGTGAGGAAAGTCGTGTTAAGTGCCTTTCCACGTCGGGGCGCATATCCAGACGCAGGTACGAATCGAACCCGGGTCTCCCCACTTCATAGTCGAATGCTCTAACCACTACACCACCCGACGCCACACGACGTTAGTCCTTATGTTTGTGGTTGAAGGTGATTTGAACTGATCCCTTTCTAAAATGAAATGAACTCTTTGGCGTAGTCTCCAAATTCTACCCAAACTTTCACACATATACAGACGAAAGGAAAACTACTCTTCTCTTAACATCTGAAAACCCACAAATTACAGAAAAAGTGGGATCCTTTGTCTTCCTCTGTCTCCAAAAAAAAGTCAAACCCAGTAGTTTTTACTAGTAGTTTCATAGTAGTTACTAACACATGTAGTTTTTATATGTACCCTTTGTTTGTTTTTAAACTATATGCTTCTCTTCTTTCTCTGCAATTAGCCCTCGGGCATGAATTTGCAATTAACATTTCTAAAACTAAGACTTATCAGACTAGTTACCTACTGACTCCTCGAGAAAAAAGAACCATCATTCTACAAGTCCTACTTTACACAAGGACGGAGTCACTGAAGGAGAGAAAGAGACGAATTAATTCATCCAAGGATGATTTTTATTGTTTCAACATTGCGAGTTCGACACCCAGTGTGACTACAGCATTCACAGTAAATAAACAACGTTTGTAACATGGAAAATGGAGCCGGCAATATACTAGTATAACAACACACGATATGACGGTACGTTTACATGTAGCTATGTTATGTACGTGATATGGCGGTGGTATTGTGTGAACAATGTTGTGAACACAGACAATAAAGCTGGTACGGTGCGTTACGGAACCTGGGGATATAGGACTCCCCTCATGCACATACAGGTATGCCCAAAACTATGCAGAAAGAAGTCCTCACAACTGTTACATGTTATATGTTGACCCTACATCAGACGGAGCTGGGTTGTGTTTATGACGTGTCTGCTAGCGGCGGCGACTGGGGTGCTCAGCAATGGTGTGCGCGGCTGGGCGTGCTGACTGGCTCACATACCTAGTGGAAGAGTTTAAAAAAACGATGACAAAGTTTGACATGACCTTTTATTGCTTGTTATGATGTTATGCCATTTTAAGTCGGGGTTACTGTTGGATAAACATTGTACAAACTACAGCTACAGAAGCTACAGATAAACTACGTCGGCCGTCGGGCGATCCGACTCGCGGTCGGGCCGATACCCAGGGCGATACGGAATACCCCGTGCACGTTGTATTCTATATGTACAGAATACAACGTGCTGAACGGTATAGAAGCTACAAGTGTGGTTTCAACTCACCTCGCCGCTAGTATTCCTCGTCCCATTCGTCATCAACACAGGCCACACGTCTTTTTGCACCTTTGTTGCATTAACGGATGGGATCTACACAGATGTTGGTAACCCGTACACGTGTATGACGGATTGTCATTACACCCTGTAAGGATGGAAAAACAAAGACTAAGTCAATGGCTTCCAACAACGCATCGTCTCGCCACTCTATCAAAGTAGATATGGAGACTAAGGCTACGGCCTGCACAGTGGACACAAGCTGGGTATGGTTATTTGCCATTGCCCTCATTATAGAAGATATAAGTTATTTGAACTGGTCACCAAAATGTTCCCTAACTTTATTAACCTTCCTGACTACAAAAAAACTGCATTTCTACGAAAACCTCCCAATTTATACATTTCGCAAAATGTCGGCCATTCCATACTCCACTGCACACAAAACAGAAATCAAACCAAACAATAACTATATCAAAAAAAGCATTAGAATTACTTATTATCATTTTTACTGTTTCTTATTTTATCTTCCAATCCTATCTTCCAATCCTATGTTCTTCCAATCAGCTCTTGGGCATGGATTTGCAATAAACATCACCACTACTGTTGGATATAACGTCGTACAGACTGCAGCTGTACGGTACAGGACCTACAGATTAACTACTGTTGGATATAACATTGTACAGACTGCAGCTGGTACAGGACCTACAGATTAACTACTGTTGGATATAACATTGTACAAACTACAGCTGTACGGTACAGGACCTACAGATAAACTACTGTTGGATATAACATTGTACAGACTACGGCTGTACGGTACAGGACCTACAGATAAACTACTATTGGCTATAACATTGTACAAACTACAGCTGTACGGTACAGGACCTACAGATAAACTACTGTTGGCTATAACATTGTACAGACTGCAGCTGTACGGTACAGGACCTACAGATTAACTACTATTGGCTATAACATTGTACAAACTACAGCTGTACGGTACAGGACCTACAGATAAACTACTGTTGGCTACAACATTGTACAGACTGCAGCTGTACGGTACAGGACCTACAGATTAACTACTGTTGGCTATAACATTGTACAGACTGCAGCTGTACGGTACAGGACCTACAGATTAACTACTGTTGGCTATAACATTGTACAGACTGCAGCTGTACGGTACAGGACCTACGGGTTAACTACTGTTGGATATAACATTGTACAGAGTACTGTTGTACGGTACAGGACCTACAGATGTGGTTTCGACTCACCTTGGCGCTTCTGCAGCACGTCCCGAAGCTCCTGGACCTCCGATTCGATGTCATCCAGCAGATCCGTGGGAGCGGCTTGGGCGGACATGACCACCAGGGCGGCTATCGCCAAGGCAACCAGCACTGCGGAATTCATGGTTCTCTCCGTCTGATAAAAAATTCACGAATCAACGTTAACCATTGTTGTCTAGTGTAGTCGTATTAACGACGTTTTTCCACAAATACAGTTTAAATGCATCAGAACCAGGGCTGCTATAGCCAAGCCAACCAGCACTGTAGAATTCATGCTTCTCTCCGTCTAAAAAAACATGAACCAACGTTAATCTTATGTTGTCCAGCGGGAACCACGTTTGGGAGGGAGAAACACATTTCACCCTGTAGCTGTCAACTGTAGGTGTCAACTGTAGTCAACTGTCAGTCCACAAAACTTCTAGGTCTAGCTCACACTAGCGTAAAAGTTAGTCAAACTTTCGGAGCAGATGTTTCTAAATGTTAACAATACACCGACAGGCATAGCTGCATGGTAGTGTAACTGAATTAACTCGGACATACCTTAGGTAAGTTCCTGGCGTACTGCGGCAGATCTCGTCTGAAGATGTCAGAATGGCTCGATGAAACACTGGAGACGCGAAGCAAAATATATACTGTTTCGCACTGCAATTAAGCAGATGAGTTATAATGGGCACTTCTGATTGGTTGGTTGCTGAACTTGTAGTCTTGTAATAGTCTGTAATTACATGTTCCATTGTTAGGGTTGGCCTGAGGCAAGATATATCAAACTCTTTTAAACTGAACTTATGCAGATGGCAATAATTGGTCCTGCTAATTGGTCAGTAGTTTTGCGGTAGTCTGTAATTACATGTTACATTGTGTTTTTCTAGGTGTGGCTGATCTTTGTGATTCAAAAGTTCTCAAATAACCGTCTGAAAAAAAGCCTAGCCAAAGGCGCATTCCCATATAATGACTTAAAATTATGAAATTATGTCATTATATGGAAATGCGCCTTGGAATTACCTCCACTTTTTATGGAGGTATTCAGTGTTGAATGATCTGAAATGAATGAAAAATGTGTTTTTCTCTGTGGCCTGCGGGGAATGAGAAGTCCACAGTCTTAAGTTGGAAAAACCTTCCTATTTTAGTATTTCTAAATTATAATTATATTCTATTGGACCTGGGGAGATAGTTAATACATACTAACTCCAGATCCAGCCTAGACAATTTCATGTGCGATAACGTGTAAGAAATAAAGGAATAAAAGTACACAGATGGAAATTGTATTGAAGAAGTCTTGCACGCAAGCGCACACTATAATGGGTACTGCTGACAGCAGCAGTTTACGGTAGTCTGTAATTAAAATATAGAAATACATTTATTGTACATTTTCCTCATTGTGAACTAAGAACAGGTCACGGTAAATAGTGATGGTAGACTAAAATGTATCTGTAGTAAAACTACATATGTACAGGTTCTGCTTCGATCTTCTCGCTTCTTAAAACAGTTGTACAGTAACAGTAAGAACAGGTGGAGCATACATACGTTATAGTACGAAGGATTTAGCAGTTCTCGAACAACCGTTTGGGAATGGCCCAGCCTAAAGGCACATTCCCATATACTAGTAATACATTTCTTTGTACATGTAATTATGATGTGTTTCCCTGTCCATATGTGTACTTTTTATCCTCTATTTCTTCATTTTCGCACCCGAAATTGAAGCGTCTAAAATACTAATATTTTAAAAGCAAGATCATTCAACACTGAATACCTCCGTGAAAAATGGACGTAATTCCAAGGCGCATTTCCATATAATGACATAATTTCACAATTTAAAGTCATTATATGGGAATGAGCCTTTTTCCAACGGTTGTTTGAGAACTTTTGAATCACAAAGATCAGCCACACCTAGAAAAACACAATGTAACATGTAATTACAGACTACCGCAAGACTACTGACCAATTAGCAGGACCAATTATTGCCATCTGCATAAGTTCAGTTTGAAAGAGTTTGATATATCTTGCCTCAGGCCAACCCTAACAATGGAACATGTAATTACAGACTATTACAAGACTACAATTTCAGCAACCAACCAATCAGAAGTGCCCATTATAACTCATCTGCTTAATTGCAGTGCGAAACAGTATATATTTTGCTTCGCGTCTCCAGTGTTTCATCGAGCCATTCTGACATCTTCAGACGAGATCTGCCGCAGTACGCCAGGAACTTACCTAAGGTATGTCCGAGTTAATTCAGTTACACTACCATGCAGCTATGCCTGTCGGTGTATTGTTAACATTTAGAAACATCTGCTCCGAAAGTTTGACTAACTTTTACGCTAGTGTGAGCTAGACCTAGAAGTTTTGTGGACTGACAGTTGACTACAGTTGACACCTACAGTTGACAGCTACAGGGTGAAATGTTTGTTTCTCCCTCCCAAACGTGGTTCCCGCTGGACAACATAAGATTAACGTTGGTTCATGTTTTTTTAGACGGAGAGAAGCATGAATTCTACAGTGCTGGTTGGCTTGGCTATAGCAGCCCTGGTTCTGATGCATTTAAACTGTATTTGTGGAAAAACGTCGTTAATACGACTACACTAGACAACAATGGTTAACGTTGATTCGTGATTTTTTTATCAGACGGAGAGAACCATGAATTCCGCAGTGCTGGTTGCCTTGGCGATAGCCGCCCTGGTGGTCATGTCCGCCCAAGCCGCTCCCACGGATCTGCTGGATGACATCGAATCGGAGGTCCAGGAGCTTCGGGACGTGCTGCAGAAGCGCCAAGGTGAGTCGAAACCACATCTGTAGGTCCTGTACCGTACAACAGTACTCTGTACGATGTTTTATGTCCTACCTGGGCCGCGATTACGTTCGATACGGGTGTTCCGGCCCGTGTGATAACTATCCGATCTTCCACCTTCACGATGACAGGGTTTTTTCTAAACAGGAGAATAGGGGAGCTGCTCCCTCATGTAACCAGCCAGCTCCTTCATATCAATTCTCAGATTGAACCCTTAGTGGCTATTTACACACCATTTAGTCTTTCTCAAAATGGCATTTTTCCAGTAAAGATTTAAAAACAATACAGCAATGTATTCTAGCATTTCACACCGTGTTACTCTCATAAAAATCCCCCCTTAGATGCTTTGCTCCCCCTCGGATGCTTGCGATCTGCTCCCTCATGCTAAATTTTTCTAGAAAAATCCCTGTGATGAAATCTGCTCCACTCCGCACTGATGCCTTTACTAGCGTGACGAGACGATGTGTTGGAAGCCATTGACTTAGTCTTTGTTTTTTCCACCTCCTCTTACAGAATGTAAGGACTCGCCTTTGATGTCATGTGAGAGAAACCGACACAGGTGCCAATCAAGCTTCAACATCAGAATGAATTGCCCAAAGACGTGTGGCCGTTGTCCCGGGATGGGACGGTGAATGGGAGAGGCGGCAAGGTGAGTTGAAACCACACCTGTAGGTCCTGTACCACACAGCTGTAGTCTGTACAATGTTATAGCCAACAGTAGATAATCTGTAGGTCCTGTACCGTACAGCTGCAGTCTGTACAATGTTATAGCCAACAGTAGTTTATCTGTAGGTCCTGTACCGTACAGCTGTAGTCTGTACAATGTTATAGCCAACAGTAGTTAATCTGTAGGTCCTGTACCACACAGCTGTAGTCTGTACAATGTTATAGCCAACAGTAGATAATCTGTAGGTCCTGTACCGTACAGCTGCAGTCTGTACAATGTTATAGCCAACAGTAGTTTATCTGTAGGTCCTGTACCGTACAGCTGCAGTCTGTACAATGTTATATCCAACAGTAGTTAATCTGTAGGTCCTGTACCACACAGCTGCAGTCTGTACAATGAGCCAACAGTAGTTAATCTGTAGGTCCTGTACCGTACAGCTGCAGTCTGTACAATGTTATATCCAACAGTAGTTAATCTGTAGGTCCTGTACCACACAGCTGTAGTTTGTACAATGTTTATCCAACAGTAGTTTATCCAACATCATAACAAGCAATAAAAGGTCATCTCAAACTTTGTCATCGTTTTTTTAACTCTTCCACTAGGTATGTGAGCCAGTCAGCACGCCCAGCCGCGCACACCATTGCTGAGCACCCCAGTCGCCGCCGCTAGCAGACACGTCATAAACACAACCCAGCTCCGTCTGATGTAGGGTCAACATATAACATGTAACAGTTGTGAGGACTTCTTTCTGCATAGTTTTGGTCATACCTGTATGTGCATGAGGGGAGTCCTATATCCCCAGGTTCCGTAACGCACCGTACCAGCTTTATTTTCCATGTTACAAACGTTGTTTATTTACTGTGAATGCTGTAGTCACGCTGGGTGTCGAACTCGCAATGTTGAAACAATAAAAGTCATCCTTGGATGAATTAATTCGTCTCTTTCTCTCCTTCAGTGACTCCGTCCTTGTGTAAAGTAGGACTTGTAGAATTTTAATGATGAATCTTTTTCTCTGATTCAATTATCAATAAAGTCAAAGGTATCCCTTGGTGGAACTCGCTGTCACCAAGTACAGTAGGGGCATTGTCATTAGATAGCTTTAAACAAAGTCTAGAGTTAGATGTTCAAGGGCTAGGTGTAACAAGTCGATCGGTGTAATGTAGCCAGCTGCCGCCGCGCCGCGTGCCTGCGAAGCTGTTGTGTTACGCCGAGGGGCGGTTATACCGACTATACCGATACAGACCCAGTATTGTGCATAGTAGGGTTCGATATCTTGATAGGGATGAATGTATGTACCTTTCCGCGATCTTGTTTCTGTGACCGGCCCTTATGCAACCCCCCTTGCACCCCCCCCACACACACACCTTGCACGACGTAAACTCACTCACCTTTCACCTTGTCACATCCTCGTCTGGAGGGTCTGAGTCTGTGGTCGCATCCAGCACAAGTTTCCTCCATTCCTCTCTGCCCTTTCCCATCTGTGTGCGGTCAGCCAGGGACCTGCCTGTCCAGTCTCTGATGTCGTCTACTCTTTGTTGTTGTTGTTGTCCATGTTTAACGTCTATTATGTCGCTAGACGTGGTCTCTTGGTGCACAGTTTTGCTCTTGGTTCAGTTCAGAGTTCATTTTCTCTCTAGGTAGTAACACTTGGTGACTCGTGCTTGTGTGATGCTGGGAGTGTTTCTAGGAGAGCACGTCGAATCGGCGCGTACTCTCGATGTACCGGGAGAAGGCTATTAGTACATCTGCTTGTTCGCTCCTTCAGGAAGGCCTTCTACGCATCTGACGGCCTCCCTCTACTCCTGGTTTCATAGATCCGTCCTGGTAGGATTTGGGTCACACCGACGGTCCGAATTACTGTAGTTTCCTCCTCTGATCATCATGTGTAGGACTCTTGCACCACGCTGTAAATGCACAGACACGTGCGTTAGGAACTCTCACCTGTCCTGAACACCTGATGGCACAAAAGAAACTTAATTACGCTCGTGCAGATTAGACATCCAGGTAATAAGATAGGCCAAAAACAGTTACAAACTAGAGTTCCGCGGTCTCATACCTTCGCCAAATGATGTTAATCTTTATGGCTGACAAATATAGATTATTCCCCCTGATTGTGCAGATAGGATCCTCATTTCCATGAATTATATCAGTCTTCATCATATTCTCAACCAAAAGACAGTCTTATATTAGCAAACAGTGCCATTCTATTATTTCCTCATAAATTATGCAAATAAGGTCCTGATTTAAATACATTATGTTTAATGATGTTTACCTTCACTGAACTTTCAAATACCACAAGTATGAAATTCCAGGCAGTTATCATTACAAAATTATAACATTTTCTCATTAATTATGCAAATTAAGTCCCCATTTACATAATCAATATCTGCCTGTGTTTTTCTCCTTCTCAATTACCAATGTCACAAGCTTCAATAGTCCTATCATGGAATGCAGCTGATTTATAGAATATCTCCATAAATTATGCAAATCACATCCACATTTGCATAATTGTCACAAAATCATATCAAGCATCACGCAAGCTACCTACATACCAAAAATCACGACGATCCGTCAACCGGTTCTTGAGTTATCCTGTTTTGAATATTTTCAAACAGATAGCCCTGCAGTTCCAGAGCAAGCCGCTAGGGGGCCCAAACTGACGTCACTTCTTCCCCAGCACAAGAGCTACCTACCATCCAAATTTCGTCACCATAGCTTGTCTAGATCATGAGATATTAAAACCGGAAGTTCAGCTGCAGTACCATAACAAGCCGCCAGGGGGCCCAAAATCTAATCAAATCGAGCTCTCATCAAGACCTACCCACCTACCAAATATCAAGATAATTCATCTAAGCTTTCTCGAGTTATGCTGTTGACACACAGACACACACACACACGGCCACGAAAACATAACCTTCGTCAATTCTTGGCGAAGGTACTAGTAATAAACTCAAGCAACTGGATATGGTTTTGGAAACGGTCAGACGTTTCGGGTAGTATCCAGAGTGTCCAAAATCATATCCAGTTGCTTGAGTAACTGTTTTTGGAGAAACTTAATTACTTGCTAATCCGTAAGTCGTTTTTCTCTCTTCTCTGGCCGGCTAGGGAGCCCTATAGCTAGGCTCTGCCAGTCCGACCTGAGCTAAGACCCCGTTCACACTCAAATATTCGGGTTTACTAGTACTAGTATTCAACCAGTTTGAGATGGATATAAGCAGCTGGTCTGTGCCCAGCGTCACATAACCGTGTACTCTCCAAGCAGAGGTTGGTGGGGAATGATTGTTACCTTTTCATATATGCCTTAAACGATCTTCCGGACCCACCAACCTCTGCTTGGAGAGTACGGCGATTGGAGCCAAACGGTTTCACGCGAAGATGAGAACATCTACAGTAAGATCTGTACTCTCAAAGCAGAGGTTGTGGGGAATGATCGTTAGCTTTTTATATATCGCCCGTTTTTTGTCTCTACCTTAGGTCGCGCCGCGATGGACCCTAGTCTCTAACATACTAACTACGCTGGCTATATATATAGGAGAATATTTGTGATGGCCCATGTGATTCTCTTTTTTGCCGAATTCTACGATCCGTATTCCCGTAGAAAGGCCTGGTGGAGGCTAGGCCAAGGCTTGGATACTTACTCCATTTCCGACCCTAGGATCTGCTTGGAGATTACGGATTTGGGCCAGACGGTTTTCTGTTATTTAATATCTAGCTCCAAACCCCGTTTTGGGTGACAATAACTTGTGATACATAATTAATCACTGGACCGTTTTGTGCACTTGTTTCCACACAGGAAGAGCAGCTGTTACGGGTCGGATGAGCGGCATGATCAGTTTCCGCTTTCTGACATCCTCTGTAGCCTCAAACTAGCCTATACCAGGCTTCGTAGCCTCTACCAGGCACCGCGGATCGCTGGAAAAAATAGTAGAAACCGGCCGAAATAAAGGAATAAAACCAGGGGAGTTAGCCGGCCAGAGAAGCTCCAATTTGCCACCTTCAAAGAACGTAGCGACTCCGTGTGTCGCAAAATATAATAGAGCTTCTCTGGCCAGCTAACTCCCCTGGTATTATTCCTTTATTTCGGCCAATTTCTACTATTTTCCCCAGCGGTCCGCGGTGCCTGGTAGAGGCTATAGGCTTCGGGAGACGGCTGGAAAGAGTAAACTACACTGCCTGGCCAATTTGATACTGTTTTTTTACCATCGAAAGGGATCTGCTTGGAGATTATGTAGCCTCCACCCAGCCTATACCAGGCTTCCGGGGAGGCGGCTGGAAAGAGCAAACTAACTACGCTGGCTATATATAACGTTAGTCTCTACCAGACTTCTTTTGCGGGCTGATCAAATCGTAGAAATCGGCCTAAAAGGGGTATTAATTGGCGAGAAAGGTTGCCGGCCAGAGAGGGGCCAATTTGATCGTCGATGGCCGGCTACCTTCTCTCGCTAATTAATACCCTTTTAGGCCGATTTCTACGATTTATTCAGCCCGCAAAAGAAGTCTGGTGGAGACTAATACAACGTTATATAGGAGAATATTTGCCAGAGGAGTTTGGCCGCCTCGTAGATTTGACTAGCCACGAAGGAGTCTGGTGGAGACTATATCCTGTGATAACGGTCCTTTTTTCTTGTAAAACGAGCTTCGAAAAAAAAACGGCGATTCATACGATACTCAATTATCCTGATTCCCCCCAGGCTTAATTAATGGAGAGATTCACCAAAACAAAATTAAAATTTTGCCAGAGGATTTCTTCGCCAAACAGAAAGATCTAGTGTACGATATAAGGCCACACCGATTTAATTTTATGGATGACATCCGCGCGCGCATTGATTTTCGCCCGATCTCAAGAAAAAAAAAAAAGATCACGTATTCCGAGGCTCTGGCCTGGCTTTAGGCCTGGGTAGTGCATGGTGGTGATAACTCTGGTTGACGGCAGCCAGGCTACCGAAGCTCCAAGACTCAAGAACTCAGAACATACGTACAGCAGTGTCGATTCATATATTCCGCAAAAATCCAGCATGTGTCGGCCTGTCGTATACGTCGCTATGTAATGCGCCAAATTCACAATACCAGGTTTGTATTCCTGTGGTTTTGT